TTGAAATATTGCACACCATTTCTGTTCGATACGCCATTCCGAATGTACCTGTTATTCATGTATTTTTGCTACAGGAGCTGTTGAGGAGTGCTTAAAGATAGCCAAAAGAAAAAAAGCCCGCGGTACCAGTGTCAATGCGTGTGATGAATTTGTCCGCTGTAATATTGGCGCATTCGTGTCCATTCCGTTCTGCGATCGGAAAGTAGTGAAGGGATGCATTCTTTTCTCAATATTGTCTTCAGCTACGGCGCAAGGCTGTTGGATTTGCGGTGTTTGGTGAGTTTCTGATTTTGTTCCTGCTTGTGGTCCAGGCAAACTGAAATTCCCACCACCGGTCTAGTGATGTTTTGACACGGTTGCTTATCGATCATTCGTTGTCGATTAGATGACACGATGTTTTGTCGCATTATACGGTTATTTATTGCTGTTTGCCGTGTTGTGAGGACAAAGATGAACAAAAGGAAGGAGGTGCAACAAAGAAACAGCAGTGACCACAAACCAAGCCGCACAATGAGTGTGCGTCCGACGTCGGAGGAAACGGCTGGTGGTGCAGAGCGTGCCAAACGAAAAAAGTAGCTTCGACTACGCACGCTGGACAATAATTGGCCGCTTGTGCCGGTGAGTGTCGTTGAGGCAATCACGGCAGACACGACACGGCAATCACGGCAATCACGGCTGAAGGCTGAAGCATTCTCATAAACCAATAAAGCTTATTCGTCCATAATATTGGTGCGTATGAATCGCACGACATACATCACCAACTAAAAGACAAGTTTGTTATGAGAACGGTGCATACCCGGACAACCAAACGTCTGAACGCCGTTTAAGTATTGTTTTGCTCGAACCAGCGGGACGATGATCATGACCATGATCATGATCGTGGTCATGATCATGATCATCATGATCATATCGCATGGCATATTTTGGCAAATACTAAGGGTAAATGAAATCAGATCACTGAGAGTAAATGGAATCCGACGATTCCGAAATGCATAGAAAAGGGTCTTATCGTTGCTCTTCATAGTCTTACGAAACTTATGCTCGGAGAAGTTCACTTATTGCATGCGCGCGCTAATGCAGGGACGGTATTCCTTGCATCTTGGCCAGCAAGGGGCTAACATTGTATGAATATTGCCAGCCCAGTTAATTTCGGTCAGCTCTATCGACTAATTCAATTCACTCAATATTATGCTGATGGTCCAGGCGTTTGCAAATACGCACACTTCAAAGCTGGCGCGCCCATGATTAATCACTTTTCGTCTGGGTAACAGTTAGTCGGGTTGTATGACCTTATGGTTTCTATGGTTCTGTCTGGTTTTAGATTTCATTGACCTATATTGGGAACTGATTGCTAGGAGGCTGCCTTGACCGCTTCCCGGCAGATTGCTGGCGTCCACACAGTGCGGATATGTAAGCTGCCTGTCATTTGTAGACGGCACATTCGTCTAGGCTGCGCAATATCTTTAAAGCATGCATCTGCTCTGGTTGCCGGGACCTGGCGTTTTTCCTTCGAGCGACTGGACTTATCAGAAGCGTTTCCCGAACTGCTTCCAGAAGGAACCAAAATTCAGACTTCAAAAGCAGGTTTTTAACTTCGGCGTGTTCCTAGCACCCGGGACGCTGTGGCTTCCGCTATGTCATCGGCCTGATCCCATAAACTAACACGCCGCCCACGCAAAAATGGTACTCGCCGACCAGCCTCGATCGGTGCTAAGGCAAAAACATTACGGAATTATTGCACAGGCCCATTTATTACACTACGTATGGATAAAGGCTGTATGGGCGTGACCGAAGCGTAACAAGGGGAGGGGCAGTAGCGTAACAGGGGGAATGACGTCAGACGCGACGGCAGTGTGGCGTTACACTCATGTGTGGTTGCAATCCGTGCCAGTTATTTATGTAAAAAACGAATTCAAACCAGGCGGATGACGTCAGCTTTCTCTCATGATAAACAACACGTCGTCCTTGTCCCGTGCCTCTGCGCAATGACGAGCTAAATGGGTGTTCACTTTTTAGGACGCTATGCTTAACGCAGTTTGGTTGCACGCTTAACGCAGTCTGGTTGCACGCTTAACGCTGTCCGGTTGCACACTTAACGCAGTGGCACCAGGTAGGGAGAGGGGGGGGGGGGGGGTGTTCGCCCGACGCGACCAGTGTCAGCAGGAAAGGCTTGAAAACAGCCAAAAATCCGCAACGTGAGTTATGGACGATTCCTGAGGAGAGCTCCTGGTAAAGCGAAACACGGTACAGATCGAAGGATTACGCCACAACTTTACAAATTTCGTTTAAAAACGTCTCTTGGCGGATCATTGCTCTTAAAAGGAGCGCTGCAGAAACATAACTGTGGATCCACAGCACGTGCCGAGCGCGCTTGATAAGACGTGCGTTCGTCTCGTAGATTTCCCCTTCCTCTCTCGGTAAACCCATGCTCAGTCATGTCGTTGTGGCCTCGGTTCGTCCAGGTCCGAGATCGAACTCTGTTCGGAATGTGCGATGTTTTCCAATTGGAAATTTATCCTTCTCGCTTGAACCTAATCGGTGGGTAAAATTGCATCATATTGGAAGTTTGAATGACAAGCAAGGTTGTTCAGAAAGCTTACAAGCAAATGCTTTGAAAATAGTTCAGCAAACCTCGTAAATAATGACGTTTTTTTAAACAAGAAATGGAACTACGGCCGTGAGTCACGATGGCCAACCGACGGTCCACGGTACCCCACAACCACTCGTTTCGCACGTGGCCTCCACTACAGCTCAATCGCACGAATTTCCTGTCTCCTGCACGGCCGTAATTTTCGTCTGGGCCCAATACCCCTGAATGGGCCGTAGCTTGTCCAGACTGGTTTCGCTAATTTTTTTTGTAAAAAACTCACAAAGTTCGGACCACGCACGTTCGGGTTCAGCGCGATACATTTTATTGACACAGAAGTGCAGGTACTGTAAATATTTGGAATGCATCACGAAGTTAAATGAAAGCGCTTAACAAAATAATACAAAGAGTTGAAAAATACATCCCATTAAAACATCCCACCTGTCAATCCGCTTGAACACGAATGGATACGTCTGATGCATACAACTTCATTTCCCGCGCCTACAGCACAACCGAACTAATAATAACCACGCCCGCATAAGCCACAGGGGTCACCGCGGACTTCCTACACATGTTGCGTTCCCTATGAACACACCATCCCTTCCGTTTCCCCGGCCCTGCCACGTACGCCAGGGCACAGCGGCGGTGGCTGCCCGAGCCGGCTCAGACCGACCCTAGCGGCTGCCCGAGCCGACACAGGCCGGCCCTTGCGGCTGCCCGAACCGACACAGGCCGGCCCTTGAGGCTGCCCGAGCCGACACAGACCGACGCTAGCGGCTGTCTGGCCCGAGCCGACACAGGCCGGCCCTTGCGGCTGCCTGGCCCGAGCCGACACAGGCCGGCCCTTGCGGCTGCCCGAGCCGACACAGGCCGACGCTAGCGGCTGCCTGGCCCGAGCCGACACAGGCCGGCCTAGCGGCTGCCCGAGCCGACACAGGCCGACCCTAGCGGCTGCCCGAGTCGACACAGGCCGACGCTAGCGGCTGCCTGGCCCGAGCCGACACAGGCCGGCCTAGCGGCTGCCCGAGCCGACACAGGTCGACCCTAGAGGCTGCCCGAGCCGACACAGACCGACGCTAGCGGCTGTCTGGCCCGAGCCGACACAGGCCGGCCTAGCGGCTGCCCGAGCCGACACAGGCCGACCCTAGCGGCTGCCCGAGTCGACACAGGCCGACGCTAGCGGCTGCCCGGCCCGAGCCGACACAGGCCGGCGCTAGCGGCTGCTTGGCCCGAGCCGACACAGACCGACGCTAGCGCCTGCCTGGCCCGAGCCGACACAGGCCGGCCCTAGCGGCTGCCCGAGCCGACACAGGCCGACCCTAGCGGCTGCCCGAGCCGACACAGGCCGACGCTAGCGACTGCCTGGCCCGAGCCGACACAGGCCGGCCCTAGCGTCACGTCAGCCGCGCTGGCAGGCGGGCCGGCGGACGAGACGCAGGACACTATTCCGTGATAGCAGCGCACTAGCGGACCGCGGGCCACGCAGGCACACGAACAGGCAGAGTACACGGGAAGTAATGCCCGACAACAGTGCACGCTTTGCGCTGGCGGGGAAAGCAGGGAGCGCAACCAGCAGTCAATGGTTCTGCTAGGAACAGAAGCTCGCCGGCCATCACCTCTACCTGCGTTCACACGCTGACAGCGCGGGGCGCGCGGGGAGACGCCAAGGAAGAACACGAGGGTCACGCTACAGCGGCGCGCAATAACAGCACTTTAAAACACGACGAGTCACGGACCGACATCCGCGCGACAGGAACTGGCACGAGACGTGAACACAACAACCAAGCGCTGGACTGAACCGCTGCTGCGTGACAAGGAGCCGCGGTCGACGCTTAGGACACCGCGCGTGCGAGTCGCAATAACAATAAAAGTATGGAGACAACGAGCCTCGGGCTGCGTAAAACGGGTCATGCTACACTTTCACCACTGACACTAACATGCACCACCCGGGCTTAAGCTCGACGCGGGCGGCACGCGGGCCCCGCCCATCTGACAATCCAGCCGCTATCCAGGAGCGCTGTTCGGTCAGCTCTTGCGTCACCAGCCGGACTGTGCGCGCCGCTGGTGTGCTCGGCGGGCAGGCGGCGGCTGCCGCCGGGCTGGAAGTGCCGCCGTACCGCAGAGCTGCGCCGGCCGCTCCCGCCCTCTCTCTCTGTCTCTCCTCCGGCCTCCCGGCGCTCGGCGGCGGCCGGGGCGGCTCGAGCCGCGGCGCGGCCGGCGCCACAGGCGAGCGAGGCTGGACACCGGACGGGCGGGAGCGGCCCGGACGACGCATACTGGTCCGCCGACTTCGCCCGGTCCGGTCCGACCTTGCCCTAGCTCGGCCGTCACTGGCTCGCCCTCGCCCGCGCCGAACAGGAGGAGGCTCCGACTGACCAGTTCTGGTCTTGACAGCGGCGCCCCTGGCCTTGCCTGCTGACCCAACCTGAGCTGGTCCGTCCTGATCCGACCCCGCTTCATCCGCCCTGGCCTGACCCGGCTCGCCCCTGCGGCCGCGACGGTCGCGCCCGGCCGGTCAGCCCTCGGGCCACGCCATCTGCAGCATGCGCGCCTGGTTGTGGTGGGAGACGCGGATGACGCACGGCCCCTGCTCCCACGGCTCGCCGTCCAGCTGCATCGGCACCTTGGAGCACAGCGTGACCTGGGCGACCCCCGCGGCACCGGTTAGTCACAGGTGCCGAGCTCGAGAGCGGTGCGCCGCGCCGACGGGCGCGTGCTGGCTAGCGCTCCGCCGGACGCTGATTGGCTGCTGCTCATCTCATCTGATCTCATTTAATGTCACGAAAGATCGTGTCGTATCAGATCTGGCAGTAGCGTTAGTGTATCTCTGCTGTCCAAAGGCAAGACTGGTGTAAGTACCATCAGGCAAATTGCTCAGGAGACGGATTTTCAAGTTTCGGCGCATCAAACATCCTTGTGCCCTTACAAAAGAAAATTTGGATACACTGTGGAAGCAACTATTTCCGAATATGTGCCTTTGTCACAAAATGCCGGCGTTCGAGCTAAATCAAATGCTATAAATACCTCTCTTTCTAAAAAAGTGGCACTAAGCATTTTCACCTTTGGACGGCAGCCATATCACGTGGGTCTATCGCACTTATATCACGTAAGCGGCAATCACCGCGTGAGACGCCCTCTGGGATGAAGACAAACACGACATGGACGGCTGGAACACAAATGCACGCAGCCAACCAGTCAAGGCGACAGGTCTTGCCCGGTTGTCCCTGTGCGGCACGCTCGTCTCGGGTCACGAGTCCCAGGTGTGGGGATCTCCCCCGACCTGACGCAGGCAGAGGCTGACCTCCCAGCCCATAGGCATGGCCACGCGCTCAATCGCCGCAGCTAGGAGCGGCGGACCTGCCGCAAGCCGCAGGGTGCGGGCTCGAGGCCTAGTTTCGGCAGGCAGCTGCATTATGAGAAACTTTAACGAACGAAAAAATGTTTAGCGAACGAAAGATGCTACATCTTTCGTTCGCGGGGCACGGACGTAGGCGTCCCTGAGGTATTAGTTTTCAAAGACAACTACACTCCATGAATGTGGCTAGCCTTTGATTTGATATCAAATGGTCCAAGACCCAAAATCATCACGGATAATGCCCCGTTTCTGGCCCTGCACCGCGCGATCTAAGCAGGGTGCAGGGTACATGCTTGCTTTCATCTCATGAGGCTCACCGCGGGCGGCGTTTCGGTTTTTCCCGCTACAGTTGACATAGCACACTGCGACGCCGATGGCTACAGCTGTTCAACAAGCCAACGTCACAAACCAAACCGCATCTCTGCTACTGACGCCAGAGCGGTGCTAGGCGAGCCCGCCCGCCCTGCCCCTGCCCCGGCGCCAGGAGCGGCCGTCCGGGGCCGCGCCGCTGCGCCGGTGCTGCCACCTACCTCGATGGTGCGGGCCTGCCCGAGCCGCAGCGGTTCGGACAGGCCCACCTGCATCTGGGCGATGTGAAACGACGAGTAGACGCAGAACACCTCCAGTAGGCCGTCGTCGGCCCGCTGGCAGCCGGCGGGCCCGGCGCCTGCGCCGCGGGGCAGATGGGGGTCACCACCAGAGGGGCACGGCGGCGGTCCGACCAATCACCGCACGGGCCGAGCACTACCGCGTTCGCACGAACGCGCCGCGGCAAGCGATGTCAGGCGTTCACATTATGGTGGTCTGGTGAACAACAGCACGCCGTTGTGTTATGGAGCCAACGCTGGTGACTCGCGCACACGGGCGGCGTGGCGTCCAGATGGCAGCACCGTCGGAGCCTGCCCAGGTCAGCCGATGCCTGGATGCGCGGGTTCGGCGCGAGACGAACGGAGACGACAGGACACCACGGCGCAATGGATCATCGAAGACCTCCGGAGACCCGACTACGCGTCTCTCGAAGTCCACAAAGCTTCGCCCCATCTCCGTAACTGAGCCACGCTTACCAGAACCAAGCCCCGCCGCTGCTGCGCTCCAAGACACCTGTGCGGACCCTGTGCCAGCCCAGTTCCCCACCATCAGCCCCGCCACCTCTCGACAGCACCCACCCTGTCCCAGCTCCCAGGGCCTGACGCCAGCGCCCCAGGTGGCGATGTTCTGCACCACCAGCGCCTCGATGTCGGGCAGCTCCACCAGCCGGCCGTCCATCTTCAGGGTCAGCTTGCGCTGCAGGTCCTTGCACTCGCGCTCCAGCACGTCCTTGGTGCCGTAGCAGAAGTAGATCAGCTGCGGGCGGCAGGTCAGGGCGGCTGTCACACCCGGGCCGTAGGGGTACGTTGAGACGGCCGGAAGGCGTCAGAAGAGAGTCCGGGCACCCTGTCACGCACAGGCGCTTCAAGGTGGCGTAATCGATTGAGAGTCTGCCGACGCGACTATCTCGCGGACCACGCAAAAACGTGAGCGCACGTGCACGAAACCGGAAAGATTCAAACCCTGGTTTTATCATGGTAGAGGAGAATACGCAAAGTAAGCACACAAACCCGAGAACGAAGTATCATAGACACCCGCAGAAGGCACAGTCAATGAGTGCTCAGCTGACTGAATGGTCACCTTTTGTTTGCATTATATTAGTGTCTGTGCTGTATTGTGTTGCCATTATATGGATGAACTCACCAAAAGGGTCCAGAGTCTGGACTTCGGACATACATGTCGTTCAATTCTACTTGAGCCACAAAACAGCCGGAGCAGGTAAATAATAAACCACCATTAATTAGAGAAACTTCACTACCGTTAACAAATCAACAGGCAGCCTATGACCTGTGAAGATCTCCCAGAGCTCCATAGCGACCCCACCTGAACAAACACGCGCCACATGACTCAGCCGAGGCTTCCGGAGCACACCCGGTCAGCAGGTCAGGAGCCGGACTGAAGGGGCGTGCCCAGGCCTGGCCACGCGTCAGCCCGCCTCTCTCGGCCCGGCAAGCACCTTGTTCACCAGCTGGCTGCTCCAGGTGTTAGCCCGCCCCCTCTCGGGCCAGCAGGTATTTTGTTCAATAGCTGGCTGCTCCAGGTGTCGGCCCCCTCCCCCCCCTCTCCAGCCGGCTGTTCCAGGTGTCAGCCTCCCCCTCTCGGGCCGGCACGCACCAGGCGTCATCCCGCCCCCCCCCCCCCCCCCCCCACCTCTAGTGCCGGCACGCACCTTGTTCACCAGCCGGCTGCTCCAGAGGTAGTGCGGCGACTCGCGCGTCTTGTGGAAGTTGAGCGTCACCAGCGCGTCCACGCCCAGGCTGACGTAGTTGGTCATGCGAACCGTGGAGCCGGGCAGGTGCACGTGCCGCAGGGGGTCCAGCTGCACCTGCGGCACGGCCAGGGCTCGGCGGTCAGCTGCTGCACCTCCGGCAGGGGAAGGGGCGGGGCGTTAGCCGGTACACCTCCGACGGGGAGGGGCAGGATCAGGTACATCCGCTTCACGGGGGTCACATGAGCCGGCAGCCAGTGTGCTCCACCGAGCAGTGCCGGCGTGCCAGGTCAGTAACGTACCTGGGAGCTGCGGAGTGTTAATTATAGCCGGACCTACGTGGGGGTTGCGGGTCCGTTACATTCTAGCAGGCGAGAGGGTTGACAAGAATGAATCTACCTGACGGCTGTTGAAGCTTCTCTATAGTTGATCTTTCATGTTTGGGATATTATACCCAATATTCGTATGCGTCAACGTATGTATTAGTGTATCCGCAAATATCAGAGTATTCCCAAAGTTAACCCCGCAAATATTCCGAAAAAACCCAAGCTAAAATCGACCTTAACCAGCTCATCGTATCAGCTGTTTTTGGTTCTACCAACCACAGATTAGGCAGAACCACAAAAGAAAACTTCGCGCAAATTTGACCTAGCCTCTAACATACTCGCACAACCTCAGACATAGTTGATACTGGCCACACCAGTACAATGACGTCAGTAAGTACAGTGGCTTAACTACTTTACCTCACGTTTTAGATGCAAGCGAAGGCCTCAACAATGGGGGGGGGGGGGGGGACTCAATGGAGCAAATCATATCCCACACTGATGCCTTCCTATCCAGCTATCCCTGAAAGCAGGTCAAACCGCGAGGGCACGCCAACCGGATCGGCACAGCACCAGCTCAGTCAGCCGCGCGGCCATCGCCGGAGCCCGCTTACCAGCCAGCGGTCGACGAGGATGACCCGGGCGTCGGCGAGCCGCCGCATGACACGCTGCGGGTCCACCTCGGTGTAGGCCTCGCCCGAGCCGAGCACGCGCGACAGGTCGTTGCCGGTCCCCAGCGGCAGGATACCGACGGCCGGCGGCGGCTGCGCGGCATCGCCAGCGTCAGCAGACAGCGCCACCAGCGGCGGCCAAAGCAAACACCGCCGCTGGTGGCGGCGCATAGATGGCGGCAGAGACACAGGCGGACATGTCGGCGCTCATTGGCTGGTGATCGGCGTGAAAATGTGCTTGATAACGGTTAACTCATGCTGGAGTACAACCACTGGCAGGCTGATGGCTGACGGAGACTTCATGGATGTCCGCAAGGCTTTACCGCAGTGTGATGCTGTGTTAGTCAGCCAATGTGTACAGTTAGTACACAATCACGATTCCCAAATACCTGATGGACATGAGACCATCCGACCACGCAATTAGCTTCACACCAAAGGGTTCAGGGCTTACATAAACGGAAATATGTTCAACGCGTTCAAGAAAGAAATATGTTCAACACAGAGCACCCTGCACCTGCCGTCCGTGCGAAACTGGTACAGCTTAACATAACCAAACTTCTTCAAATGCAACAATACATGGGGCTGAGCAGTGCAACTGGCAAACGCAACTTTACCCCGCTGCAAAACGACAACAGTGCCAGAGCAGTGCAGTGGACCTGCCTCGAGCTTGAGGTTGTCGATGGCGTTCAGCACCCAGTCGACCGTGCCATCACCTCCGGCCACGAGAACGCGACACCTCTCGGAGCCCACCAGGTGGCACCACTCCAGGCCGTCCTCCGGCCGCTGCTCCGCCAGGTCCACCACCTGTCGGCGACATCGACAACTGACAGTCCGGACGTGGCTCACTAGATGGCACTGTCCCCGACCGTCCTCCGCGGGCCGCTCCGCCGGGGACGCGATCTGGTGGAGACACCGGCAAAGTAGCTGGGGTCTTCATCAGTTCTGGTGGTGCCCCCCCCCCCCCCCCCCCCCCCCCCACTACCACCACAATGGCATGGTCTAATACCAACGCACAAGTCAACTACTGGGTAAAGACACTGTGAACTTATTTTGTTACGTGACCCACTGCAGCTATCAACATTGGAACATATGGCAAAGCTGAGATCCTTCATTCGATATGGTATGAACGCAAATAGACGCAATTATTGGTTAATACTGAAATATCATTCAAAAACTGGGAGCCATAATATGCGTAGGGAGAACGGAAGATGACAGAAAATCAACACCGTCACATACAACGACGGCACGAGGGAGATACGACAATACGAGCTAATCCCACAGAACCCGTCATGTTCTGATCCACATTTCACCCAAACTGCAATCGCCGAGTCTATACCACAACAGCGACGCCGACTTCGGCGCCAAGCGCAGGCCTGGTCGGCCCCGTGGATTCAGTTTCGGCTGGGGTGGAGCGACGGGGCGTGACCGGGCTGGGGTGGAGCGACGGAGCGTGACCGGGCTGGGGTGGAGCGACGGAGCGTGACCGGGCTGGGGCCGAGAGACGGAGCGTGACCGGGCTGGGGTCGAGCGACGGAGCGTGACCGGGCTGGGGTCGAGCGCCGGAGTGTGACCGGGCTGGGGTCGAGCGCCGTGGCGTGACCGGGCTGGGGTGGAGCGCCGGAGCGTGACCGGGCTGGGGTCGAGCGCCGGAGTGTGACCGGGCTGGGGTCGAGCGCCGTGGCGTGACCGGGCTGGGGTCGAGCGACGGGCGTGACCGGGCTGGGGCCGAGAGACGGAGCGTGACCGGGCTGGGTTCGAGCGCCGGAGTGTGACCGGGCTGGGTTCGAGCGACGGAGCGTGACCAGGCTGGGTTCGAGCGACAGAGCGTGACCGGGCTGGGGTCGAGCGCCGTGGCGTGACCGGGCTGGGGTGGAGCGCCGGAGCGTGACCGGGCTGGGGTCGAGCGCCGGAGTGTGACCGGGCTGGGGTCGAGCGCCGTGGCGTGACCGGGCTGGGGTCGAGCGACGGGCGTGACCGGGCTGGGGCCGAGAGACGGAGCGTGACCGGGCTGGGTTCGAGCGCCGGAGTGTGACCGGGCTGGGTTCGAGCGACGGAGCGTGACCGGGCTGGGTTCGAGCGACAGAGCGTGACCGGGCTGGGGTGGAGCGACGGAGCGTGACAGGGCTGGGGTGGAGCGACGGAGTGTGACCGGGCTGGGGTGGAGCGACGGAGCGTGACCGGGCTGGGGTGGAGCGACGGAGCGTGACCGGGCTGGGGTGGAGCGACGGAGCGTGACCGGGCTGGGGTCGAGCGCCGTGGCGTGACCGGGCTGGGGTCGAGCGACGGAGCGTGACCTGGCTGGGGTGGAGCGACGGAGCGTGACCCGGCTGGGATCGAGCGACGGGCGTGACTGGGCTGGGTTCGAGCGACGGGGCGTGACTGGGCGCCGCCCGGTGCCGGCGGCGGGGCAGGCGGCGCGCTGACCTGCGCCGCCTGCCCCGGGCCTGCCTGCAGGCGGCGCGCTGACCTGCGCCGGGTTGAGATATCTCCGGAACGCCGAGAGCACCTGCTCGCCGTCATTGTTCCCCGACTTCCGATTGCCTGCGGACAGGCCGTTCCACCGGCGTCAGAAGCAGACGGGGTCCCAGCCGGGCACGCTGGCTGGGTACAGTCACATCAGAGGCAGACGGGGTCCCAGTCGGCCACGCTGGTTGGGTACATTCACATCAGAGGCAGACGGGGTCCCAGCTGGGCACACTGGCTAGGTACAGTCACGTCAGAGGCAGACGGGGTCCTAGCCAAGCACGCTGGCTGGGAAAAGTGACGTCAGAGGCAGACCGGGTCCCAGCCAAGCACGCCGGCTGGGTGCAGTCGCGTCCCTGTGCACGAGGTCTGCGACCGGACCTTTGACCCACGCCAAACAAACAGGAGCGAGGCGGCCGCCGACAGCGAGTGGCCGCGACGCACGTGATCAGAATCCCGACTGTTCTGCCGATGTTCGCGCACACGCCCGCGGATCTACGCGGACAGAGCGACAATACAACTAGGAGGTACAACGGCAATATAACTAGGAGGATCATTGGTTATATCCGGTTGGTTTGAGAGCAGAACACACTACCCAACTACGCCTACATTCTGTTAATTCTACGTGTGACGTCCGCTAAGATCGTAGATATCATCGTACTGTCCCGGCATACTGACTGCCGGGCTGCTGTCCAGTGGGCTTATATTGACCGTAGACATAACGACGATAATTATCCCACCTCCAGTCCGCCCCATCTGAGTATCCGTCCGTGACGTCACACGACCGTCGGTCGGCAGCGCGGCGCGAAGGCGTCCCCGCCCCCCGCGCGTGCGCGCCTCTGACGCCGCCTCACTCACCGATCACCACCAGCGGCGTCCAGTCCCTGTTGGCGGCCGCGCCGGGCTCCGCGACCTGGGAGATGGCCAGGCGGCGAGGCACGGTGCGGGTGGCGCGCACTTTGACGCAGTGCGGCGGCACCACGAACTCGGCGAACTCGCCCAGGTCACACACCTGCCGCGCGCAGGTGAACGTGAGAGAGGACGGGTCACGCGGGCGCGCAACATAGCCGGACGGAGAGGGGACCGGCGTCACGTGCCCTGTTTCAGGTACTACCCTTAAGGTCAGACATCTCTGATACCTGGTCGGACGGTTCCTTCGAAACACGTCCCAACAGCAGTCCTCACCATCATGACCCCCAGTGGTAGTCCTCAGGTCAGACATGCCCCTTCCCAGCGGCAGTCCCCACCTTGGACATGTGCTCCTAGCGGCGATGCTCACCATCGACGTGCTCCCCGTAGTAGTCCTCATCTCGCCTACGTTCTCCACAGCAGTCCTCACCTCGGACATATTCCCCGCAGCAGTCCTCATCTCGTTCACCTTCCCCGCAGCAGTCCTCACCTCACCCACGTTCCCCACAGCAGTCCTCACCTCGCCCACGTTCCCCGCCGCAGTCCTCACCTCGGACATGTTCCTCCTGCACTCGTCGTGCACGGTGCGCTGGCACCAGCAGCAGCGCAGGCCGACCAGCGCCGGCGAGTCGCCCACGCCCGCCTCGCACACCTCGCAGGCCGAGTCGAACGGCAGGTTCCCTGCGGCCGGCCGCGCACGCGCAGGTCAAGCGTCGCTGCCCGCGCGCAGTCCTCTCCCCATCCCCCCGCACTTCAGTCCCCAAACGGCGCGTCTTCCCAGACTGACGCACGGTTCGGCCCGTCCGCGCGGGACGGCCGCGGGCTGGCGGCCGTCCAACGCGGACGAGCCGGAGCACGCACCGGACACGGTCACTGCCACGGGAGCCGGCCCTCGTCACTGGCACCCATGCCACTGGAGTCGGCCCTCGTCACTGACACCCATGCCACTGGAGTCGGTCCTCGTCACTGGCACCCATGCCACTGGAGTCGGTCCTCGTCACTGGCACCCATGCCAGTGGAGCCGGTCCTCGTCACTAGCACCCATGCCACAGGAGTCGGCCCTCGTCACTGACACCCATGCCACTGGAGTCGGTCTTAGTCACTAGCACCCATGCCACTGGAGTCGGTCCTCGTCACTGGCACCCATGCCACTGGAGTCGGTCCTCGTCACTGGCACCCATGCCAGTGGAGCCGGTCCTCGTCACTAGCACCCATGCCACTGGAGTCGGTCCTCGCCACTGGCACCCATGCCACTGGAGTCGGTCCTCGTCACTGGCGCCCATGCCACTGGAGTCGGTCCTCGTTACTGGCGCCCATGCCACTGGAGCCGGTCCTCGTCACTGGCACCCATGCCACTGGAGTCGGTCCTCGCCACTGGCACCCATACCACTGGAGTCGGTCCTCGTCACTGGCGCCCATGCCACTGGAGTCGGTCCTCGTTACTGGCGCCCATGCCACTGGAGCCGGTCCTCGTCACTGGCACCCATGCCACTGGGGTCGGTCCTCGTCACTAGCACCCATGCCAGTGAAGCCGGCCCTCGTCACTAGCACCCATGCCACTGGAGCCGGTCCTCGTCACTGGCACCCATGCCACTGGAGTCGGTCCTCGTCACTGGCACCCATGCCACTGGAGCCGGTCCTCGCCACTGGCACCCATGCCACTGGAGTCGGTCCTCGTCACTGGCACCCATGCCACGACACCAACCACTCAATGCCACTTATGTTACAATGTCACTTATTTGATCATTGCGGAGCTCGAAGCACGTGCGTGGCAGAGCTGTTAGTTCGCAGCATGCTGCGAAAAAGCTCGATGTCCTTTGCTCAGGCATATTACTTTCGTTTTGAGACCGTTCTGAAATGAGGATGATATACCTAGCAAAATCACACGCATTCCGGCCGAAGCAGCGGTTCCGTGGCTACCTATATCCTCCATCACCGTGTAACAATACTCGCAGAACCCCGTTGGTGCCGAAACAACTCTCACTGGACCCAACCCAAACTTCGCTCGGGCACTCCCCAATCGTGCCCGTGCTTCATCCATGACGGGGAACGCGGCAGGGCATGCGCGGCAGCGGGCACATCCATTTGCATGGAGTCCGGCATGGTCCGCTCCAACCTCCTTGTCACACAGGTAGGCGACAAGGACTTAAGTTTGATTAACATGATTAAAGTTTAGATTTTAGCATTATTTCAATTTAAGGATATCTCAACTGCGGAGGTCATTCCACGCCAGCCGATTCCTTCCCACACGCTCTACCGTGGAGCGATCCTGATCTTCCCTACACGCCCTCCCTCCCTCTCTCCACCGGGCGATGCGCTCGGTGGCGCGTCACCGGCCGACTCACCCTGCACCCAGTGGTGTTTGTGGGAAGTCTCGCGTGACGTCACCGCCTTGCAGGTCAGCTGCTTGTTGGCCGAGCGCACGCACGGATGGCAGGCGCACACGCCGCATGCGTCGCAGAAGGCGCCCTGTGACGTCATCAGCAGCGACTCGCAGATGTTGCAGTAGCTCGGCTGGCGGACGGAGGGGGAGGGGTGTGAGGGCGCGGGCGGCGAGCGGAAGAGTCTAAGTGGGCTCCTGTTTGTGACAGCTTGTGAGGCGTCGGGCATATGGTCCTCCCCTGAGATAGCCACTGCATCTTCCTCTGGACTAGCCAATGAGCTCTTCCATGACCTAACCACTGCGCTCCCCCCATGGGCTAACCACTGAACTCTCCCATGAGCTAACCACTGAGCTCTCCCATGAGCTCCTCGCGGGGCCAATTACCGAACTCATGATCAGCCTCGGCTCTTCGCCCAGCATCACGGCACAGCAGGACGCCCCAACGACCACGCCGACTCGGGATGACTGAGCGCCTGAGTCCATGCCCCAGTGTCCCACCTGAGAGAACATGCCGGTGTGGGACCAGCGGTGGCCGCGCCGGGTGTCGCGGGTCAGCACGCGCGGCGTCCGCTTCAGCATGCGGCGCACCAGGAAGCCGACCAGCAGCGCCACCAACACCGAGGCGGCCGCGTCGCGAACTGACACCTCTGCCTCCATGGCCAGGGGCAGGCTGGCGCGGCCCGGTCACGTGGCGGAGTGGCGCCGCAGTAGGAGGGCGTGCTGACCGACGCTGGCGCGGTTGGACCAGGCTGCTCTGGAGGGTTCCTGTTAGTAGCCACACTTAAACTGGTATCGAGGAAAGGGGGGGGGGAGAGTTACCTCTCTTCATCCTTGCATAAATCTGGCATCACCCTACAGGATTGCACAGAATGGCAAGAAGGAGGGAACACATTGTCCCCATACCTCCAAAAAACTTTTAAGCAATAAAGTACAACTACTCATTGCTGATGGCCAGTGCCACAAATGCCAGCCCACTTTGGACATGTGCCATGTGCCTACTGAACAGCAGCATGTGTCAGCAACTGTTTACATCACTAAATCATGCCATCTGATGTGCAGTACCATTGACAGATGATACAAATCAGATGTATGCAACACTATCAGGCTGTGAACCAAACCATAAAAGTCAGGTAATTTTATCTGACAGGCAATCTGATCCAAATTGTCCTGGATAAAGCTTGCATGCTGAGTCCAAGTAAAGATCAGGCTGCCCAGCATGTGATTATAATAGCATACCCAATGCCTCATCTGGAGTCAGTATCATAATTTACAGGAAGTGTTGAAAAATTGATTCTAATTAGATTTTATTGAATCTGGAAAAATGTACTCTTGACTCCTTTCATAAAATGTAATACTTCTGTTAGTGTGGCCTGGTACATGGACCTAACTCTTCCATTTTAAAACAAAGTTTTTCATCCAAGTTTACTCTTGCCATGCCACCATAACACCATGTATAGATAACACATAATAATAGATGACTATACAAACCCTTTATTTTTCAATATCATATTCATCAGCCCAAACAAAAATATAACCTTGCCTGCCAGATGTCTGCCTGGATTCCAAGGGTGGGTCCAAGGTCCTATAGGATTTCATGCTTATGGTACCTTTTGGTAAGATTCTAAGATCCTTTTGGAAGTCCAGGCATATATCTGCTGCTCACAGGATGACACATCTTACTTGCTCTTAGCTCATTGCTCCCAAAATATACAGTTTCCTTAGTTTCTAACCATTAAATAAGCAACAGGACTTCAAAAAAATCAGCAATGAGAAATATGTTACAAAATATTCTTTTCCCAGGAGCTCTACTAATTTTCCATGAAATGGACAGTCCTAAGAAAAAGGTAATCACCAATCTGGTAAAAATTGAGGAGGTATCAAAAGCTACCAAGCCTGATCATCCTTTCCCATTAAATGTATGGGTAAGATCAATCATTGGCCATTATCATTAACATAAGTTGTACCAACATAAATCCAGCAAATCTTACAATGTTTTCCATTTAGACTTTCATAAAAATGCATAGCAAATACAATGAAGGGAAATCTAAATCTAGTGTGACAGTCAAGTTATCCTTGCAACCATAGTCCCTGCTGAGATCCCTCCAAGCCAAATTTGAGCTGTCTGCCATAATTACTGTGGCACATTTGTGACCGAATCATCGGCAAACTATTATTCACCTAGCTGCTCTGAGTGGCTAAAGAACTAGTCATTTTATCATTCCTGTGCCTGTTCATTTAGTCCAGAGATTGCTCTTTACTGGTAAAATTTGCCATGTTTTCACTTTAATCTGGTCCCTGCAAAATGTAGACATGAGGTACCAGTGATTAAATTGTGGCAACATCTTAGTCCAAAGATGTTAAGCTGTCAGCTGACTGCTCAGACCATGTGGCAATCACACCAGTCAATGGTCAATGCACATATGAGCCCCAGGCTGCCTAAAATACATATTATGCTAAACATGCCCAGTATAGCAGCAACATCACTACACAAAATTCAGCTCATGTACACCAGAACTGTTGCACTAAGGAGGCAACTTCAGGCAAAAATTTTTGCACAAAAATAATTGTAAAATATAACAGAATTTAGCCCGGCCTGAGGTTGACACATGCAAATGTGAGTTGTGGACCGATGTCGCGTGGGCGCCGTGGACAGAGTTTTTGCAGACCGGTATGAGCTTCTCTGGCGTCTCATTAACAATAATTAACCAGCATGGGATCTGACCGGCACGTAACCGGCACGAGCAGAGACTTCGAAAAAAAAACATACCACCCAAATTAGCCACAACGTACCTCACCGCATTTATGTGCACCCCGGACACTTTTTGCACCGCTGACAATGGTCACAGTCCGAAGAGCAGCGTCATATCCTAACTGTCGCTGATACGTCGGATTCGTATACCAACTTGGGGATACCTTTATATCACTGCGCGTTCTGCAGCCGGCTTGATACTCGCAAACCAGCCATCTGATTTTCTTAAAAACTGCATCATTTTAACCGCAGTATATAACTACACTATCTGTTATGATTATGATGACTTCTGATGGCTGTGTTAATTTTAACAAGTCACGGGAGACTTGAGTCAGAGTCAGAGGCCAACCACGCGCGAACAATGCAGTTACCTCAGATTTCAGAAGCTACGAACAAAGTTGCTAGCCCAACGAAAACGACCGCATATATCACTAAGTTAGTCATTCAAAGTCGTCAAAAATTGACACGAAGCACACGGTTTAATCAATCTTTCTGAAACTGATGCTCTCAGGTCCCAATTTATACTTGCAAAAGAGCAATCATACAGGGACACCGGACCGGATAGGTGGGGAGGGGGTATTGGGAACAGCTCTGCCCCGTCCTTCAACTTAGAGGGCCTGAGGAGGGCCCATTCTGGTATGCGGATCCAGAGGAGGGGGGGGGGGGGAGTACCGCCCCTCCCTCCCACACACACACAATGACCACTATGGGTGGACAATGTAAATCGGTCACTGGTCGAAGCCACCCATTGTGTTCCTCTCTGACAAGGCACGTGTTCGTGCGAAAGAGTTCATTAGTATTCCGGAGGACAATCGACTTGAGATGTTGAAAGGTTGAAAGGGAAGAGCCTCTATCAGCCAAAGAGTTGCAAGGCAAATGTAAGAGAGGGGTTGGAAGGGCAGCGTCGCACACTCCGAAGTCGTCGTCGTCGTCGTCGTCGTAAACGCTGATGCGGCTCGCGTCTAGCCGCGCCGTCCGGGCCTGAACGTGGACTGCTCGACAGGGACCGTGCGTCTCCGCCCGCGTGTCCCCGTAAACTCACGTGGCCCACGTATGGGCTCCAGATGATGGGGACCAATCGGCAGAGGGGCTGCTCACACCATCGCGGAGACGCCGCCACCGCGGCCGCAGCGACGGCCCGTTTGCTCGCTAACAGCTCGTTTCGAAGGCAGTACGCTTTATTAGCCCACCATATACAAATAAATAACGAGATGTCCGAGCCTTTACGGCCCTTGGCCGCGGGACAGACTCTGCAACTGCAGTCCACCGTTCAGTTAGCGTGAAACTCCGTTGCCATCATTACCTTGACCAACCGACGGCACATGAACGTCAATAGGTGCGAAGGTCTTTTCCGAACGCTCTGTCCGCCGGGCTGTGCCGTGCCCTGGAGCGCATTCTAACCGGGAGAGAAACTCGACACGTTCCATGGAACTCTTAAGTTTTCTATGTCTTGGTTTGTGCGACCGAGTCGATTCATTCAGTATGGAGCAGACGAGTCCGAAATGTAAGGAGTACAAAAAGGCGAACTACAAGCCTGAATGGGCCCCTGTATATGTCAAAATATACACGTTACAGTCGGTAATCTGCAGGTCACAATGGGCTCCTGAAGGCCAGAATGGCCCTCTACAGATCAAAATTGACCTTCCACAGGAAGACTCAATCCTCTACAGGCTATAAGGAACTCTCTACAGGTCGTAACGGGCCCTATTAAGGCCAGAAAAGGTCCTTTCACAAGCCAGAATAGACCCTCCGCAGTCAATAATGGACCGTTTACGAAGGACGCGGGAACTGGGAAGGGAGGGGGAGGCGTGGGGACAGCTCGCCCCTTAACTTGAAAGTTGAGGTGCCCCCTCCCCTTCCACCCCACCTGAGCTTGGGGGGTGGAGGGCCCATTCTGAACTGTTAAGATTCATGTAAGCCTGTAAAGTGAATTCTCACCTGTCGATTGGTCATTCTGGCCTGTTGAGGATTCATTTTGACCAGAAGAGGGTTATTCTGCGTCTCTAGAGGGCCCATTCTGACCTGAAGAAGGTTTGCTTCTTATTGTAGTAACCCCATGCTGGCCTGAAGAGATCCATTTTGATATGTAGACGGCCTATTATTCATTATGGAAGGCCCATTCTGGCGTGCAGAGGGCCCGTTCTGACCTTAAGAGGGGCCCATTCTGGCATATAGGCGGCTCGGCTTGAGCTGTAAATGGCCCATTGTGACATGTAGAGGATCCAGTGTCAACTGTAGAGGGCCAATTTTGAACTGTAGAGGGCCCATTCCGACCTGTAGAAGCCCATTACCGATTGTGGAGGACCCATTTTGGTATGTACAGAGATCTATTCATTGTAGAGTGCCTTTTTGGCCTGTGGAGGAGCCGTCATTGACTGTGGAGGGCCATTCTGGCCTGAAGAGAGCATATTATTGACAATGGAAGGCCCATTTTGGCCTGTAGAGGGTCTCATTCAGAAGCCATGTCGGCCGATGAGTGACTTACATTGACAGCAAATAGTGCTTTGAAAATGACATTATTTGCAAATGGTCGCTGGCGCAGTACACAAAGTTTTAATTTCATGCTGTAACTGCAGATTTTCGCTGTGGATGGACCGGAAGCGTCGAGTGGAGCAGTTTGGAAAGGAGGGCGACAGAATGAAATGGATGTCTCCATCATGCAACTTTGTTGCGCTGGCCAATAACAACCCAACAGCAGCCATACTATTATGCGATTAATATCGCATAATATATATATATATATATATATATATATATATATATATATATGTATATATATATAGCATTATGCGATATTTAGCACTATACGATACGCGCAGCCATACTATTTGTGCAGTGTTGGAAGTATTTTACCCACGCCGCCAAATGGTGGCAATCACGCTACCGGCGTCAATCGGCTCTCGAAGTCATCCGGCGGTACTCAGTAATGTTCAGTTCCTGGAAGGTTTTAACGAAAAAAGTGTCGTGTTGGACGATGAGCAATTTGCATCGATGGTCGGTGCTGCCCTTACGCTGGTATCGTTGCGCTTGGTTATATCCACCGCGAAGTCCTAAATGTATTACAAATTTGACTCCGTAATTTTGCAATTGCTACTGTGTCCAGCTCACTAACGTTCAGTGTGACACTGTGGGGTCAACCGAAAAAAATGGATGCCTAATCGGACGAGTGTATTGCACTGGCAGAAGATAGCCCTATCACCGAGTATCGAATGTACACGGCGGAACTATGCGGGCGTGTTTGTAGGTTTTATTTTCGCGCGTTAGGTTTGTTTTGCACTAACTGCCGCATGATTGCAATTACACTACGAGCCGGCCAGCGGAAGTTAGCAATGCGCCACCAAGAAGTTATTTGAATAAAAAAGGTGGTTAAATAAATAAGGAGTTGATAATAAATAATAAAATAATAAAGTTTAATAATAAAGTGATTAAAATAAAAAAGGAGTTAACATTGCCGGCCGATAGTGCTCCGATCACGGCATCGCGTACACATGGTCGCATCCACCGCACACCCGTTTAAGGAGTGTTTCTCATTTGAAGATATTAAAGCAATCATCAGATATGATGAAAAAACCTCACTTGTGACTATTGATATACCTTGAAGTAGAAATGACTGCTTAAGGCAGCACAGTTGCTCTGTTTTACAAACATGCTCCTCGATACGTCATTGTTTGATCACATCATCTTACCTTGTGCAGCATCGACTGGGATCCATTTAACGGTCGTTATATACCTGGAGCTCTTGCTCACGAACGCCAAATGTGAATGGCCCGACCCTTACATTTTTCTTGACCTTGATCGCCGCAAAGTTTATGGGATGGCAGGATTTGAATGGCGTTAGTACAACGTCATGATTGCCAAGGTGACCTTGAAATACTCTCCCCGAAATGGTCTGCACATCCTCGCGGGTTTGGAGCTAAAAAACTAGAGGGGTTTAGGTCTAAGAAGAGCAGGGCTGTGAACTGTCCCCGAAACGGTTAATTCAATTCAAGCCCCCATAGAAATGTGGAACACTACCTTAAAGGATTCTTAAGTTAAAGGGGGGGGGGGCATCACTATGCATCGATATGATTACTAACTTAGGGTACTCTGGTACCGGTAATACAACAATTATCAGTTGTGTGTTACCAGGCCATACGACGAACCGGGCGGTCGATTTTGCCGGAATGTTACAAGCACAAGGGTTACATTTTGACCATTATAGATTACATTATTACATAAAATTACATAAAAATTACAATTACATTTAAAAAATTACATAAAAAATTATATATTACATAAAATGTCGCTACATATTGACCCAATGATAATTTTGGAACGAATTATGCACAGGCCTGACGTGGCAGCTGGGGTACGTTATGTACCCAGAATTTAAGTACAACGAAGGCAACATATTGACCCCTTCGTTGACCTGCGGTGCCCCCGGCTGTACATACTGGGATGACGCGCCATAGTCAGGTCCACATTATACGTCAAATTGATAATCTCTCATGCTTCGGATGTTAAGTGCAGCTTGGGGGCGACCGTGAATTTTTCACGACTGCAATCAAATGATTTTGCCACGAGATGCTAAATGAGTTTCTGAGATGTTTTACGTCGTGATCTCCGCGGGGAACGATGGAGAAAGCTCCACGCGGCACGCAGGCCGCGGCCGATTGCTTGATTGATTGATTGATGAGTTGATTGATTGATTGTTTAGCCGGGGGCTGAAAGGTCCCACTCCTTACAGAAATAAGGGAGTTGGCTGTCGGTCGATCTCTCCGCGACTCGCAGATGAGGTGGGACACATCCATAACGTGGGATTCGACTTTCAGCTGCCTTTTTGCGATTCCCAGAAGGTGCAAGTCGGAAAAGGGCATTGGGCTGTCGGAAAAGTTAGCTGTTTTTCCTTGATGGATTGGCTTGCGGCCACAGAAGGGGATTCCCTAAGATGACCATGAGTGACTGACCCTTAACGCTGCTCAAGAATTCGGTCACCGCGGGCGCTGTTGTTAGTTAATTCGGTCACCGCGGGCGCTGTTGTTAGTTAATTCGGTCACCGCGGGCGCTGTTGTTAGTTAATTCGGTCACCGCGGGCGCTGTTGTTAGAATCATTACGGTGACTCCAGGAGGCGAGGTTCATACATATGATTCCGGCGAGCGAACATGTGATTCCGGCGACAAAGTGTTAAGAGCCGACGAGGGATTCCGGTGTGCCGTTGCGTGATTCCAGCGACAAAGTATCATGAGTTGATGTGGGATTCCGGCGTGCCGACGAGGCATTATTCGGTAACGATAGAGGGTGGGGGCTATGTGGTTAAGCTGCGTTGAGCCTTGCACCAGGCGGCTGTTAATTACTGGGCTAAGTTCCGAGGTACACGTGGGGTGCCCTGAATGGGGGACCCTGGATATTGAAGAATTTTCAAACGTAAATGGCCTGTTCTTTCCAAAATACAAACTGCCTGCCAGGTACCAAGGTATCAGTGTGTGTTTTTCCGCGGGCCGCGGATGAGAGCGGCAGACTCTCTCCCCTCCCCCCCCCCCCCTCCAACTTCGGGCAGCATCGAACGTTAGCTATATGACGGTGCGTGGAAAGCAACGAGGTACAAATCACGCCTTTCCACCCCTCCACCAATGTGCAACCGCTACGCTTGTTTCCGAGACAAAGATCGCACGTTAACCGCAATACACTACAACGTCAATCGGCGTGAATGACGTCAATCGGCCGAATTATGCAAACACGTTTAGAGGCATGAGGTTGACAATGACCTGGGTATGACGTCACCACCTGAAGTCCGCTCGGCAAGCTGCTTTAGGACCAGCTGGAGCCGGACCAGCGATGAGCTGCGCGTCTTGTCCAAGAAGTAGGGCGCCTGCCATATCATGAGAGGATCCAAGTCCTCCAACTGCCTTGGCTGTACTCATACCGACGTCGCAGAGGAAACATGGTTGCGGCGTTCCAGCATATTTTTGCCGGTGGGCAAGTTACCAACAAGACACGGCTCGGAAAGACATGCCACACCGACAGGGGCGGATCTAGCCTGGAGTTGTATTTTTAGGGGGGGGGGGGGCAACCGTTCGTCGCCAGCTGGCTGGTGTGGGATCCGGGGTCCAGTGCATGGTGCCGTTCGCGAGTACCTAGTAGGGACGCCATTCAAAACCGAAAAAAGCACCGAAATGCTTTTGAATCTTAAACAGAGGTTAAAACAAAACAGTTAAAACAGTTAAAGTTAAAACAGACGGTCAGTTGACGAAACTTTTATGAAGTTCTGGGATTTTTTTTGGGGGGGGGGAAACATGCTTTCATTTGTTTGGGTGGGGGGCATGACCCCGTGCCCCCCCCCCCAGGATCCGCCTATGCGCACCGATCACATCCATAAAATGGCATTGTTCGATTGCCTGAGCGGGATCTCAAACAGACGGGGATCAACAGGCCGAGTTGCCTTTAAACTCCTGCAGTCGCGATTGGAAAATGTTGGTGATTTCAGACGTTAAACTTTATAGCTCGTTGCTGCAACTACTGACGTAAAGATCATGTTATGGACTGCTAACTAACGCTTTCTGTGGGTGGAAGTAAACAGGCCAACCAAGCAGAGAAGTCTTGGTTGCAGAACAAGCAATGGTCTGACGATATGAATCCACTTAACAAGTGATGGCATGGAATACCAGCTACCGTGGGAATGCGTGAGGAGTTGGTCGCAGTATTCACTGTTGTAAGATGGAAGTTTCGCTGTAACGCGTTTCTTATTTTGTGTGCACAAGACAGCTTCCCGTAGATCCTCAACGTTATTTTAATGAGTAACAGTTTCTACAGTCACCCCGAAGCCGACGCCGCACAGCCCCTCCGACGCTCGGGGGAAGGAGCACTCATTTTTCTATGCTGTTTGCATGACAAGCAAATATAAATGAAAGGAATAATTCTGCGGTGTAGGCAAAGCAAGAATGATGACGCCTCGGCATTCACTAGTTCCCTAGACGTTTCTACAAAGCGGACGCTAGTGTGCTTTTAACATTTTTATCCTCTCATCCGTTGTGTTTAATGCGCCAGTGATGCAATAAGCATTACATATATAGGTTAAGGGAATATATAATTCTTCATGACGGCGGTAATATCAAATTAAATATTAGGATTACCTACCTAAATTTTACTTGTACAATTACAGGAGTCAAGTGAAAAGTTTCCCAATAAGACGACTTTTGCAATATGACCTCCGCGTTTAACCGCACTTATGATCTTCTGTGACATCTGAGTATTAGTTTTTCGTCCATGGTTTCAGTTTCAGCTTGTAAAACAGTTTTCAATGGTCGTGTGTGAACCTTTTTTGTTGACCACTTAGATGTGATAAAGTTTACCTGACTGTTTTTTGTGTTAAATTGCAGTACTTTAGTGTCCCCTCGTAAACCTGGTACCTTGAGTCCGTGAACGTTACCCACGTGGGCTCATTCCGAAATCTGCCGGGCGGGAAGAGTCTGGCTGTGTTGGTGCGGTTCGTGGAGATTCATTTCCCTCGGTGAAGCGACATAAGTCGCGGAGAGGCTTCTCATATCCATCATCAAACAGTGTCTAAGGGGGCAGCTTTATAACCGCACTTTTTTCTACTGCACCGAAGTTAACGAAATGGTAAGGAACTATTTCGTGGAATGCACTGGACGTCCAGTCAGCAAAAAAGTTATCCATTGAGCCAGCAGATGTCTTGTCTTGGATTAGGGCCTGTATCAGACTCCGGGACTGAAGTGTGTGCCTTCAAAACACGCAACATTGGTGGACACAAGCTCACGTTTGACCACCCTGAATGCAGACTAGGCCAAGTAGCGCTGACTTGATTTTTTGGCCTCATTGCCTTAAGTATGCTTGCAACATAATCTTCTGATATTGTGGGCCTGTTTCCATTGTTTCGCTAGCCTCTGGCATGTTCCCACTGCCCAACTAGCCTGGGGCCTGTTCCTGTTGCTCCTCTGACTTCCTCCTTGTGTCCTCAAAGTTCCTCCAAACTAATCTGATCTTAGATTCTGCCTACACTGGTGTAGTTTTTGCATACATTTTACTTAGATTTTACCTATAGCAGATTGTTGTCAGTTTTAGAGATATTTTCAGTTTCAAACATTTTCCTAATATGTTAAGTGTGCATATCAGTGCAGCCAAGATTGTCTTATCCACATGTGGTGTACGTCAGGTTATAGAACACGGGCAGTTCAGCTCCGAGTTAACTTAGTTAAATGTTGGTTAGAAATATGCAAAACTTTTTTTGGAAATGTTGGAGGCATTCAGAACTAGGACATGTTGTGATGAATTCCATCTTGAAAACTTCACAGCTTCATTATTTATACCTCCAAACATTTGTGGTGAATGTATTGCTGCACAGATTGACAGCAATATTCATCTTTACATCCATATCTGATAATGAGAGCTAAATTTGATGCTGCTTCAGCCAAAGCAGAAGTTAAACAATGTGTGTTTGAATGGTGGAAATGATATACAGACACATTTTCATAAGAAGGTTATGGTGCTTGGTGCTAACCACTGTATTCTGATTGTGCGGTGCAGCTGCTGTAGTTAACAAAGCCTGTGAAGGTGTGCTTGATGCTTTTAGGTAAATATTTTGTACTGTTATGTGGGGAAAGCCAAAACAAGTGCTCAAAGCACCAGACTACAATAATTATTGTGAGAACTAAAAAAGGAATCATGTAAAAGTTTTGTGCTGCTGCAGAACAGTTTTCATATAATGGCTTGCAAGGCTAAGGTGTTGGAAAAAGAAATCATTGATGGGTGTAGTGGGCTGAGGTATTGACCTAGCAAAATGGAACATTACCAACTGTGCAATCCTGTTCAGGCCAGCTCTCTGGTTTTACCTTTTTATGGTGAGGCATTGTTCAAAAGCTAAAACTGTCCAACCTTTTGGAGCCACAATTTTCTTTGTAGCTGTTCAGTACCATTACAATCATTGCTGCTTCCAGGGAGATACAAGGGATATTACCATCCAAATGGGCAGTGTGCGGCTGACTTAATTTGAAAAGGACAGTGTAGACCTATTGCCTCTCCCCTGTCTGTCTGTGTTGTGAACGAGATGAATCAAGGGTAGGGCAAATCAATGTTGTTTGGGACATTTTAGTTGATGCATGTGTCTGTTGTGGCACTAATTTCTTTTTTAAAGATTTGATCCAGACTCTTTCGACAGGGGATTTCTGGGATCAGAGCTCACACAAAGCAGTGCTTGCACAAGTCCTGACCCCTACCATCCGATCATGCCATCCCAGACAGCAGCTGGAATTAGTGACAAAAGCTTAACATGGTGCCCGAATGCTGGGCAATGTCCGTCTTGTCCTCTAAGGTCACTGACTTTTTGCGCGATGCTGCCACTGGCCACAGGCCATACCTGTGAAGGGCAAATAGGGAGCATTTAAAGTGACAGAACTGACCTCGCCACAGGTGGGTTGATTGGAAGGCAGGCACCCCAACCAGTTGAGTTATATATATATATATATATATATATATATATATATATATATATATATATATATATATATATATATAGATGATGGTTTATCTAAGAATTATAGGAAATAGTCCCAAATTGGCTTTCAGTGGTCCAACTTCATCAGGTTCAAATACCACCCTTGTTATGTATGCACGTATGTAGCTTGTTTAACTTTGCCAGTGTTCCTCCTGGCTAATCCCATGTAATCTTCTCACATATCAAGTCCAGAGTATTGCAACATAGAAGGCTTTTGTTTCAGACCAGCGGACAAGCTGTCAAAGTTCAGTGGAAGGGCTGCTTTTCTTACAGTTGTCATTCATGATTATCATCAACCCCATGTGTCAGGTGCTAGTTAATCAATTCTATGAAAGGATTGAGAGGAGGTATCAGTACCACAAATGGTTTAATTGTTCAGACTCATCCTCATTTGGTTTGAATCCTGGTGATTCTGGAGAGAATTTGTGCTGTGCCGCAAATGTATGGTTGAAAGCCAGACAGCATCCAGTCTTTCAGGACTCATTAATGCCTCACTACAGCTGTAGAGTTAGCTGGCTGAAATGTTGTGTTGATGCCGGCACACCTCACCGAACGATGGTCCAAACAATTATCCCATCCATGATGTGCTGGTTTGTTATGGTCTGGGTGCACGTCAGACAGTCAAGATGTGTCGCGGTCTGAGTGTAGAACAATGCTCAATCCTTTCTGCAATTTGTGTGTCACTGACTAAATGGTCAAAGAACTTTCAGTGAACGTGTCATGAAAAACCTCGGAAGGATCGCTTCTTGAAATACTTCAAATTGACCACAGGCCGAGCCGGAGGTGAACCCCAAGGCGTACCCGTTGGCGGACGCCGCTCTCACTGCCAAGATCCTGAACCTGGTGCAGCAAGCTGCTAACTACAAGCAGCTGAAGAAGGGGGCGAACGAGGCGACCAAGGCGCTGAACCGTGGCCTGGCCGAGTTCATCGTGATGACGGCCGACGCCGAGCCGCTCGAGATCCTGCTTCACCTACCTCTGCTGTGCGAGGACAAGAACGTTCCCTATGTCTTCGTGCGCAGCAAGCAGGGTGAGCCGATGCTGGTGTGAGGGAACTTACATAAATGGGGATCACTTGCAGCATGTTGATGGGAGTATTTTTTATGGCTGGGTGCCTGCATGCACCCAGATTTAACCATGGTAGTTGTGCTTGTTTTACTTCACTTTCAAAGGAGTATTTGGTATTAGGCGCAAGTCGCTCGTGATAATTAATGATAAAGTGACTCAGGTCGTCGGTCGGTAGTTGGGGGTTTACGACGCACTCGGCTGCTGAGGCTATATGGCGTCGCCTGCCTCTCACCGTGGCAGGAAGGGCAGGCACCGCGGGGAATCGAACCCCGTACCTCTGGTTTCGTAGACGCACAGTGGCTAACGCAGGCGCGTTAACCACTACACTATCGACACCCCTGGCTCAGGAGGGAGGTTCGATCCCTGACCCATGGCCAGTGCTCAGGCCATTGTTGAACTCTGACCTGTGCCGCAATCCTGCTGGCGTGGTATTGGTTGGCCTAACGCTGTGTTCCGATGCCTCTGACACCGTCCATGCTCTGCCCGATTGGTGGACTGTGCCCTGACCTGTGACCCTGCCTGACCCTGTGACCCGTGTCGCCAGCGCTGGGTCGCGCCTGCGGCGTGTCCCGTGCCGTCATCGCCTGTGCGGTCACCGTCGACGAAGGCTCGCAGCTCAAGCCGCAGATCCAGAGTCTCCACCTGGAGATTGAGAAGCTGCTCATCTAGGCGGCCGGCCCGCCGCCGCCGCCGCCCGGTCGGCTGACTGTGACGTCATCGGAGACCGGCGGGTTTCTGGTGACGTCACTGGATGACGTCTGACGTGGCACGCGGCGTCCCGTCACGGGTGTTTGCGAAGCTTTTGTGGTCGGATGTGTCATTTCGTCGGCTCCGATGTTGTATCGACCAGAACTTCATATTGCGGTATTTCATTTCATCGCGCCTGTTTGAACGATCCCGCGTCTCTATATGGCGTCGCCGACTGTTCTGATGACCACCAGCTATCAGGGAGTTGTCTGTTAACCGTGCGGCGGGGTGCCGTTTTGAGCTATTCCAAATGATGGGAAGGAAATCCATCATAGCGCCAGGAGTGATTTTTTTTGACAAATACACGACACATTGGCATAACGGCTTGCGTCCATATTCGGAGACAGACCGGGATTGAACATGATGAATGGCGCGCCCGGAAGCGGGGCGTGCGGCGGGGTTTCCCAGTCATCCAAATATGTTGTGTGAGTTATTGAGTTTCTGTTGGGTGCGTTCTGGCACATTGCAGATCGTCCAGTACAGTTGCAACATTGTGGATCGGCCAGTGCTGTTGCAACATTGTGGATCGGCCAGTGCTGTTGCAACATTGTAGATCGTCCGGTACTGCCGCATTTACTGCATTTACCTAGTGCGACGCGGTGGTCTCAGTGCTTTGCATCACTAAACTAGTTAATATAACGTTCCAGGTCTTACGTTGCTCAGCACGAGACGTTTTCGTAGATCTCGTCTTCGTAAAGGGCTCCGTCGGCGTCAGGTATTGCGAAACATGCAAGGCAGGATGCTAGCGGGAATGCCGATGTGATGCCAATCCAGACGCGTGGGGGTGAGCGTGTAGCAGCGCCGGGGCCCCTGCGTGTTGCCTGGCAGCGGTTTTGAACGGGCTATGTAAGTGAAGCGATTGAGGTGGGGGACGCCGAGGCACGGGCCCCACCCCTATCAAAGTTTTGTTCATACATAGACACTTGAAGATTTCTTGAAAATTGGAGAATCGAAATGAACACCGAAAACTAACCTATGTGCAAACTGGCCGTGCTATAACAGTGTCATGAAAGAAACTAAGCGTTTATGTTGCGCGTGTGATGCTATTTGTTTGCAATGAATAGAGCTGCACCCCTTCCCCCTGGGAAATCCCGCTCACACCCCGGATGATTGCAGTGCGTTGGCGCGGATTGTCCGTCACATATTGAATATTCCATGAGGGAAGTGTTTCACATTTGCATGGGGTATTGAACCAAAATAGACCTATTGAAGATCATGCGGTGCAGTTTGCAGCCATACCCTTTCAAATTTAAGAATATTGTTGGTCCCGACTATCACCCTGAATACACATGTAAATCCAGTGCCGACATGAACGCTTTTTATATCAACATAGACACCTTGTGAGGGTCGGTGAGGAAAAAATCAGAGGAAAAAGTACGGGAAGACAATATTGACACTCTGAAGACATTTGACTGCGCTGCGTTTCTTGCATGCATTTAAATGGTCCTCCACGACGCTCGGCATGTATCCGGGGTTCTATCTGTAAAATTAGGGTGGTAACTTGCACGTAAGCGATATTTTCGAAGACAGCACCCAGGTGGGAAGGGTAACAGCGTTTTTTCTCTGGCCTCGTTTATGCTTATTTCTATTGCAGATGTGTAGCCGAATAGTTCAGAAATAGAAACACTGACTTGATCACATTTTCCCACACCTGGGAGTTGCTAATCTTTTCATTATGTGAATAATGAAATAGTGGTATACGTCAGCCAACCATTCAGTGACGTAAACTATGTAGGTGACCTTAATGACAAAAGCAATGCTTAATCAACTGACCATTGCTCAGCATTTGCTGAAGGGACACCATGCAGGAAACTTTGGCTCTGCAGATATGCTGATATACAGAATATCATTTATATGTATATGTCTTGCCTGAGATAGAATGATGGGTACTGTTGCCGACTCCCCATCCTGTGGCTGTGGAAATCACTTCTTTCTTTAACAGATAAGTTGAAGTCCCTTTGAATAGATGGATTTCTGGGATGAGAGCCTATGGAAAGCATTGTTTGCCATATGAACCCTGACCTACACCATGTAATTATGAAATTTTAGGCCAGCATCATAGTTTGGTGGCTAAAGCTTAACATGTGCCTGGGTGGCCAGCTAGATACCCTTCACTCGGGTGGGGGGTCGGTTTGACCCCCTGATATCTCGGGAACTAAGAGAGCTAGACACCAAATTTGCAGGATATGTTGATCTGTATGTGAACTCAGGTCAAAATTTGAGGTTTGCAGGTCATGACTTTTGGGTCAAATCAGGTCAAACAAGGTCAAGTTCCTGGTTGGTTTCCAAAGTATCTCCACAATCCAGCTATCTGTTTCTAAGCAAATAGCCACATGCTCATTCAAGGTCAGTAACCTTTTTTGACCTTTCAAAGGTCATGGTGACCAAAATCATACAAAACTGTTCCAAGTGTTGCATGTGGATAAGCGACAATGATTATGCTGGGCAGTATGTCTCAAAAAAAGAAAAATGTTAACTGGGGTCATTTTAGCTCAATGACCTATTCTGACCTGTAAGAAGTCCATGGACAATGTATAATGTGGTTTCTGTGTTCAGTAAATTTGAAATGAGCACCAGAAAGTACCCCAAACAGCAAGCCCTAGATTGATAAAACAGGTTGGTTTTGAGCTCGGTCTGGCTTTCATACCTGACTGTAGGTCAAGATAATTTGCTCATTCAATATTTGCATTGCCTAATAAATCATCTCAGAGATGTGTGACCTTGTCTAACTCTCCATCGTTGCATCAGATTGAACGATTCCCTAGAACTTGTCTTCTCGGAAACCCTAGCTTGGCTTTGACCTGCCATAGGTCAACAACCTTACAAGGCCACAAGGTCACATCTAATTTTTTATACCAAACAATCTGCTATTCAGTTGTCTACAGCTAAGCGAAATTTGGCGCAGCTGTGCCGTGCCGCTCAGAAACCATTCTGGAAAAAACCTTTGGGAGGCTCAATTTGACCCCCCACCGAGCACGTGTTAATGTGCCCCAGTGCTTGGCAAGATCAGTGTTTGCCTAGCCATAAGTTGTATGCTAGTGGGAAGAACCCATTTTGGTCACATCAGCCATGAAAATACCCTGTTTCTGTTTGTACACCTTTGTTCTTCCTGTGCAATGGTGTGTGATGGTGGTGATGTCCAGTTTTGAAGGGGTGGTTAGGAAGCAAAGATATTTTATAGCCACAGCAGGATTTTTTCCAACCCATCCTGGTGATGTGTTTGGCATGCTGCAATATATTTCAAGATGATGTGTTGAATGTATGCTCATTGATTGTCTTAGCTAATTCGCAGGTGAATATAACTAAAAGCAGCAATCTGCCTGTGTAATGTCTTGTGGTTATTTTACAGCCACAACACTGCCTAGCCATGTCAGAATGTTCAGTACTAGAGGCTGCCTTACGGGTGAGTTCTGCAGTTATGAGCTGATCAGTCTTTGGTGTATGTGACACATGAGTTGATGGTTTGTAGTAATGCCAGACTCACACAAATGCATCCGATTCTGCAATGCTCTGGGAAGTTAAGCTACCATTTTATTGCATGTTAAGGTTTCCAATAGGTACCTAACAGTTCACAGCAAATGGTCTCCTTGCTTGCTTATGATGCTGCCTTTGGCTTTACATTCTCTCATGTCACCAGCTTTCACAGCGCTGTAGTGCTGCAGAAGTGACTGGCTCAGTTTTTTCTCTCATGTAGTTTTTGTCGTGTCTCTCAAAATGGAGTGTGGGTTTGTTTGTTTGGGGCTCCCACATTTCTCAACCTGGACAGTGTTTGTTACTGGACGAATTTGAAGCATGTATATTTGGTTTTAACATCTTGCACTTACAGATATTTCCATTTTGTATGCCATTTTATGTGCAACTTTTTCCACATTGCCCAATAAGCCACCCTTATTGCACTGTTGAATGAGAGAGATTTTCCATTGCCACTCCTCCAGCTAGTTCTGACTATGTTTCAGCACAACCCGCTTTTTTTCCTGGCGGCTCCAAACACACTGAAGAAGCGAACAGAGGCAAATTCAGAACCCAAGTAAGCTGCCGTCGATCAATCCGCTGTACGGAATCTCCGTAGCATATGTATTTCATAAACGTAACACCTGTTAACAAGCCGTTGATGCCTGTAGCTAGTTTAAGTATTTACTTTTGCGTATAAAATCACCGGTTATATACGTTGCGCGATGGTATTTTTGTGTCGACCGTGCCCGATGGTTTAGCGGACGCACCACCGCCAGCGCGGAGCCCGATCCGCAACAGTCCCCGGTCACTTGTGCGTGTCTGACCTCTGCGCTGCGTCCAGGGCAGCCTCGGCGGCGACCAGCGGCGGCTCCGGGCCGCTGGACGCCCCTGCGACGCCGGAGGACCGACTGAGCGGCGCGGTCAGCCCCAGCGCGCGTGAGTTCGCCCCCGCCCGCCGCCACCCGCCGCCGCCTGTCGGCCCCCGCACGGCACAACGGTCCGCGCCGGGTGTGGAGGCGTGGCCTGTCGCCCGGCCGTGACCCCGGCAGAGGCGCTGGCCTCGTGACCGGCGTCGTTCATGACCGTTGGTCTTCGAGGCAGACCAAAACTGTTGGAGTAGGACACGCAGAGGGCGATGAGTGGACATGACTTTACCGCGCAATTACAGTGCACCATGTTAGGACATTTGCTAGCACTATCGAACCTGTGCCAGCTGCCATGCCTTTCAGACAAACGTCAAATACTAATTTCTCGCACCCAGGTGGTATGGGAATGTTCACGCTCGAGGATCATTGCTCTATTTGTATTCGCCGGCTGCACGCACCCGACTGTCGTGAGCGGCGGTGGTTTGCGAAATTGCACGACGTTAAATAGTGCAGAGATTAGAAAAGAATAGACTCGAGTTGGCTGTGGGGATAACTGTAGCGAACAGGATAGACTTCGGCTCGATAGACCGGCGCGGACCGTTAGGACATTTGCTAGCACTATCGAACCTGTGCCAGCTGCCATGCCTTTCAGACAAACGTCAAATACTAATTTCTCGCACCCAGGTGGTATGGGAATGTTCACGCTCGAGGATCATTGCTCTATTTGTATTCGCCGGCTGCACGCACCCGACTGTCGTGAGCGGCGGTGGTTTGCGAAATTGCACGACGTTAAATAGTGCAGAGATTAGAAAAGAATAGACTCGAGTTGGCTGTGGGGATAACTGTAGCGAACAGGATAGACGTCGGCTCGAGTTGACCACTGGTCGCGTCCCGTGTTGTCGGGGTCGCTCGCGATGCGTGACGTCACATTACAGGACGCCCCGGTCGTCGATCGTGGAGCAGAGTGGCGCCGTCGTTGAACGGTCGCCTTGTCCGGCGAAAGCGTTCATGAGCTCCAGTCCGAGTCTCCTAGTGGTGGCCTTCGCCTACTCTCACGAATCCTTGATGCGACGCTCGCGTTCGGCGGCGGCGTTGGCTCATCAGCAGACTTCGCAGGCACACCGCCACGTGCCTGGAGCGTTCTGTTGACGCTCTGTGCTCGTTGTGCAGGAGTCCAGGCACACCACCACGTGCCTGGAGCGCTCTGTAGACTCTCTGTGCTCGTTGTGCAGGAGTTCAGGCGCACCACCACGTGCCTGGAGCGCTCTGTTGACGCTCTGTGCTCGTTGTGCAGGAGTCCAGGCGCCCAGACTCTCCTCATCGAAGGCGCTCAGTCGACACGAGCGCAGGCGGCGGAAGCTGCAGGCCCTGCTGGCGGTGGTGCTGCACAATGACAGGACGCGGGATGGAGGCAAGGTGGGACTGCCCGCCCGCCATGGATGGTTATAATTAGGACTTCTGGATACCACTACTTCATGACTGTGTAGAGCCCAGCTCGACTTGATTGCTGTATGGCGGTGGCCTGATTTTAATATGCAAACATTCCGATCATCCAGTAACACCACGGGATGGGGAATACCTCTCCCAAAAGGAACGGCGTGAGGAGTTTTTGGAACAAAATAATACGCACGCCAAGGACGAACAGCCAGGCTTTGATACAGTCTGGCACACAGTATGGTGTGTCACCTGAGTCTACGGTGACCACATCTTGCGCTGATGTTTAAATGCGGCGACAGGGAGCGGCCTCCGGCGAGCACGAGTGTCGGGCGGGAAAACGGCCCCCGACGGCAGGCTCCTCAGCGGCAGACACGACACAGGTAGGCATTGTGACGTCACCGGCGCGAGAAAGGAAGCTGTGACGTCACGGACGAGTCCACGAGTTGTGAAACCACGGACAAGAACGATAATTGTGACTTCAGAAGTGCAATGGGCTCATAATTTTGCTTGCTTTTCACATGAGGACTGCACAGTATGTGAGCATTCTCCAAATGGTTGTTTCGATCCTTTCATTGGACGCTGCCGACTCCAGACCAGCAGTGCCACTGTTGTTTCCCTGTTGTGTCACCAATATTATCTCCCCGCTGTGCCGTGACCACCTGGACAGTACCTGCCACGGTACCAAAGGCTGCCGCTTCGCCGCGGCCGAAACGAAGACCGGCAGCGTTAGTTGGCAGCCTTGTGGACTTGACGCGAATATCTCATATATGTGTGCCGATTGGGTGCGTTTAAGTAGCCCTTCTAGCTGTGTCCCGAACGAGAAGCTGTTAGGGATGGAAATGCTAGGGAAAGTTAGTGCATATATATATATATATATATATATATATATATATATATATATTTATAGTGTCTTTTTCCTTATTATTGCCTCATTTGGTTTTCAACGCCTCGGAGGCGTTGAAAACCACTTCCAAAGAGATTTCCGACTAGCATGCATTCCTCATTGCATATATATATATATATATATATATATATATATATATATATATATATATATATATATATATATATATATATATATATCGTCGGAGGAAATCTAGTTTCTAGTCGGAAATCTCTTCGGAAGTGGTTTTCAACGCTTCCGAGGCCCCGCGCCCACGTGACAGCACTGTACGCCTGTCGGCTCCTGCTTGCCGTCAGCAGCGCCGTCTGACCGCTGTTCCAGGCGGAGCCGTCGGACGAGATCAGCGTTGACGACTACCAGGCGATGCGCAGCTCGCTGCGGCGGAAGCGGAGGAAGGAGGTGAGCGGCGGCATGGCCCCAAAAGTCACTCCCGTGGCTGTGTATCGGACTGACGCTGCGACTTGCCCGTGATAGTTAACCCCTTCATCGACCCGATTGGAGCTAATGACCGGACCTACCAGAAGGGCCCAGTTCATAGGCACAGCCAGCACTGCAGCGCTACGAGTGTCCAATCCGTTGTGTTTCTGGGTTCCGGGTTGTCTTGATGGCCTGACCCGGTGACCTGTTCCGTTGGTGACCTGACCCGGTGACCTGATCCGTTGGTGACCTGACCCGGTGACCTGTTCCGTTGGTGACCCGACCCCATGACCTGTCCCTTTGGTGACCTGACCTGGTGACCTGCTCCGTTGGTGACCTGACCCAGTGACATGATCCATTGGTGGCCTGACCCGGTGACCTGTTCCGTTGGTGACCTGACCCCGTGACCTGGTCCGTTGGTGACCTGCCCCGGTGACCTGATCTGTTGGTGACCTGACCCGGTGATCTGTTCCGTTGGTGACCTGACCCGGTGACCTGTTCCGTTGGTGACCTGACCCGGTGACCTGTTCCGTTGTTGACCTGACCCGGTGACCTGTTCCGTTGATGACCTGACCCCGTGACCTGACCCCGTGACCTGACCCCGTGACCTGTTCTGTTGGTGACCTGACCCGGGACCTGTTCCGTTGGTGACCTGACCCGGTGGCCTGTTCCGTTGATGACCTGACCCGGTGACCTGTTCCGTTGGTGACCTGACCCGGTGACCTGTTCCGTTGGTGACCTGACCCGGTGATCTGTTCCGTTGGTGACCTGACCCCGTGACCTGTTCCGTTGGTGACCTGACCCCGTGACCTGTTCCGTTGATGACCTGACCCCGTGACCTGTTCCGTTGGTGACCTGACCCGGTGACCTGTTCCGTTGGTGACCTGACCCGGTGACCTGTTCTGTTGGTGACCTGACCCGGGACCTGTTCCGTTGGTGACCTGACCCGGTGGCCTGTTCCGTTGATGACCTGACCCGGTGACCTGTTCCGTTGGTGACCTGACCCGGTTACCTGTTCCGTTGGTGACCTGACCCGGTGATCTGTTCCGTTGGTGACCTGACCCCGTGACCTGTTCCGTTGGTGACCTGACCCGGTGACCTGTTCCGTTGGTGACCTGACCCGGTGACCTGTTCCGTTGGTGACCTGACCCGGTGACCTGTTCCGTTGATGACCTGACCCGGTGACCTGTTCCGTTGATGACCTGACCCGGTGACCTGTTCCGTTGATGACCTGACCCCGTGACCTGACCCCGTGACCTGACCCCGTGACCTGTTCTGTTGTTGACCTGACCCGGGACCTGTTCCGTTGGTGACCTGACCCGGTGGCCTGTTCCGTTGCAGCGGTGTCCGGAGTTCCAGCTCTCCTCCACGGGCGACCACGCCTCCCTGCTAATGGCCGCCCACAGCAGGACCCCCATCTTCATGCGGGACGTGCAGACGCTGCTGTTAAACGCGGTCGTGCCGGACCACGCGCCCTGGCCCACCAGGTCCGTACCACCGAGACGTCCCGATGGGGGCTCAAACATGCCTCTGACGCGGGGGCGGGGTGGGCATGCGTGCGCTCTGGACCACCAGGTCCGCACTGGACCTGGACCTCCCGGACTCGGGACCCGGGACCCCCCGGACTGGACCCGGGACCTCCCGATAGGGACTCAACCACACCTCTAACGAGGAGACCGGGCGGGCCTGCGCGCCCTGGCCCACCATGTCCGTACTGTCGAGACGTCCTGATAGGGACTCAGGCATACGTCTGACGCGGTGACCGGGCAGGCGTGCGCCGCGCGTGCTCGGTTTGCAAGCTCGTTACTGCATACTACAAGGCGTAAAATGATTTCCAGCGTGGGATGGTGTCTCTGAGCTTGCGGAAACCTGCACAGTCGATCCCGTGTGTAATGGAGCATGACACTCTCGTTCTTAGAGACGTTGTAACATAGCATGATATGGATATCTCTGATAATGATATCGCACCACAACCGAGCCCTAAACGCGATTCGTTTGGCGCCCTTATTCCTTCAAGCATCACCACGGCCACCATTTCCCTCCACGTGGTGTGACGTACCGCTTCTGTTCATCGACAGGTGGTGTAACCTACTGAACGCGGACCGGATCTCCCGCACGGTGGCCATGGTGGTGGACGGCCTCTCGTTGCGTGACCTCCAGCTACACCAGGACCTGATGAAGTCCACGCTGACCCTCTTCCCGCACCAGGTACGGCGTGGACGCGCCTCCGCGCGACTCTAGGGGGCGTCGCAGCTGCGCTGCCTTATTTGTGTGTCGCTTCTTCATACCAATGGATGTAATCAGCTTTCAAATATGTGTTCATAAAGATGATGATAGCAGTGAGTGCACTTGAAGTATGTTGATTGATGATGATTGTATGTTGATTTCACTCTCTACACTGTCGTTCCGGTAGGGGTTTGGCTGCCATGCTGCCCGCCTTGACCCGTGGTACTGACCCCAGGCACGTGACTGATGAGGTGCGATGCGACACGAGGTGCCGAGAGGCACAGCTACCATTCACCGCTCTGTTCAGGTAGCGATGGCGGGGCACGATCCTGACCGTTGACGCGAGATGGCGCTGCCGCAGACGGAGCTGATCTCGCCGGCCCACTACGGCACCAGCGTAGCCGAGGAGATCCTGAACGTGCCGCTCAGCATGACGCAGAAGCACCGGCTCGTTCAGCGTGAGCAGCATAGTACACCCCAGCGCTCGGGCCTGGCGTGCCACTACCCATCATCGGCATGTAGAAAACCCCCCGGCTTCTCTAATCCCGATGACATTACGTGATGGGGCTTGAGTGGCTGTGGAGATGCTCGCGATCGGCACATTTGGGCTCGATTCCAGCCAGAGGGAGCTGCCTCTGTCCCACCTCCACACGAGCATGGCGACACTTAGGGTTCGCTGATACATGGGGCGTGACCGGAGGCGTCCCACCGACCGTGAGGTCATCCGATGACTGATCACGTCCTGCCGTCCACCGCGATACATGGGGCGTGACTGGAAGCGTCCCACCGACCGTGAGGTCATCCGATGACTGATCACGTCCTGCCGTCCGCCGCGATACATGGGGCGTGACTGGAAGCGTCCCACCGACCGTGAGGTCATCCGATGACTGATCACGTCCCGCCGTCCGCCGCCACAGAGCTGGGGAGTCTGGACGGAGCCGTGCAGGCGGGCCTCATCCACCGGCAGTGGGGCGACACCAGCGCCCCTGGCGGCGGCGGCAGCGATCTGCCCCAGGCGCTGCCGCAGCCGGCGGCCATTGGGCGCACGGCACTGCTGCTGGACATCTCGCAGCTGATGGAGGAGGGCTACCCGCTGCCCGGCGCCGGCCTGTACAGCAAGGCCTTCCGCGGATTCGTGCCCACCAAGGACAAGTACAAGCCGGTTAGTCTGGGGCTGAAGTGGGAGGGACACTTTGAGAGTGGGATGATTTGGTTTAGTGGGTGACATTCCGGCGGATGGTAACTATTGCAATGCCTCAGAAAATGTCTGAAGATTTAGGAAGATGCAGACGTCACAGGTGCCCCGAGACGTGGATGTGCTCTCGTGGCAAGGTTGTGTTCGAGATGGTAGGAAATGGGGAGGGCACGTTGCCGTCGGCGGTAGCCAGTTATCACTTGAGAGACGCAAGCAGCAGACATTGGGGGTTCGGTTTTGCTGTGCAGTTGTGCGTGTCACGCTCTTGACATCGACACGATTTGGCCAGGTAGAAGGGCGTCGGCTGATGAGGTCTGCGCCGATCGTTTGCTCCGTCCTCACAACACCGACGTCGCTGACCTGGAGACTGCGATCACACGAACGCGTCTGAAGCAACGGCGTCGTATTCAAGCCCTCCCGCTCAGAGCAGCGTGTCGCTGAGGCGCCGGCCGGCCGCTGGTTCCGTGCCGTGACGTCCCGCGCTGCCTACCCCAGGTCACCGACGACTCGCCGATGTTCGCCGTAGACTGCGAGATGTGCCTGACGCGCGAGGGCAGCGAGCTCACCAGCATCTCGGTGCTGAGCGAAGCCGAGGAGCTGGTGTACGGCACGCTGGTGCGGCCCGACAACCCCATCACCGACTACCTCACCCGCTACTCGGGCATCACCGCCGAGCGGCTCGAGGTCAGCCGCCGGCCAGCTGTGCAGGGGGAGGGGCTGGCAGCGCCCTGTCGTGGACCGCGCCGCCTCTGCGGCTGTGGGGCCTGCGGCGGGCGCCGTCCGGGGATCGTGTGTGCTTGAGACGTGGCCACCGGCTGTTTTTCCGGAGGGACGTAGGTGCGCATGTGCACGCGTGTTCCGTAAATTCACTGCTTCGCCGGAAAGCAGAATCAAAAGCATTTGGGAGCACAACACGTGGCATGCGCACACCTAAGTGTTTGTTTAGACCAGCAAGACAACAATGTGACTGAATACATCTGATTTGGTGGGTATTTCGGAACAAAAGAGCGTCGCTGTAACAGATGGACGCGAATGCAACGAATACTTTGGAACGAGCATCTGTAAACATGTTAATAACGCAATCCTTGAAGCCATGTGCGATTCGCCACACTATGATGTTAGTCGGCCTTATTCAATGCTTTTATGGTCGCGGCGATTGCATTGTTGCATTTACTGCCTTCCATCAACGGCGCGGCTCTTGGGTGACGGCCAATCGCCGGGCTTGTCTTACATCAGCTCCGATAACATTCCGTGGAACTAATCCCGTTTACCCTCCTCCGCCGCCGCAGGGCGTGACCACGAGACTGGAGGACGTACAGCGCGACCTGCGGCGCCTGTTGCCGGCTGACGCCATCCTCATCGGCCAGAGCTTTAACAACGACCTGCGCGCGCTCCAGGTGAACTTCTTGGCGGAGGTCGCATCTGGATGGTGGTGGGGGTAGGCCAGGGTGCCCTCCAGGTGGACATCCGGGCTGAGATGGGGGCAGGTCAGGGGTGTCGGATCAGCCCCCCCCCCCCCAGATTCGTTGAGGGCCGGCTGAGATCAGATTAGTTTTATCTGATTATGGAAGGATATGTGGGCTCAGGAGATCAGCTCGGACCATTTAATTGATTGAGCTTGAGTCCTTGCTCAGACCGGTGTGTTGATATTCGGCCACTTGAGCGGTAGGGGAAGCGGTTGTTCATCCTATCGCACCCCGACTCGCGGTGTTCTGGCTGTTGCTCCTCCCCTGACTCAAAATTGGCCAATCAGCATCGAGCCGGGCGGCGGTCGACCCGAAATCAAGGCGCCTCCGGCTCGACAGCTGGGACGGGCAGGACAGACGGCGTGGCTCGGGGTGTCGGAGGGCAAGGGATTACCAGCCAACGGACTGTGTGAGACTTCTTTGCTGCTGACATTCATGAGTGCAGAGCAAGCTGCAACCCGCGGGAGGCGCAGCGTAGAGCGGCGGGAGATGGCCGTGCTTCTTCTGACCGCAGTGTAGCGATCTGGCTTCAGCCAGTGAAGCGGAGCAGACTCTTGTCCTTGCTCATAAAGGTTTACGAGCAGATGCCACGCACCTGCAGGGCTATAGAACCGGTTCTGAAGCGTTTGCGCCGCTTACGCCTCCATCCCGTCGGGCCGCAGGGTGTGCGCCGTTCATCACCGTGACGTCATCAAAGGCGGCTGCAAAGTCAATACGCAGCAGAGATTGCAGCTCGTTGCTGGCGACGGGTACTCATCCAAGGCAGCTGTTCTGTCATGGGCTGCGGGATGGTGAAGTTGGCGGTGTTGTGGAGGACAGTCATCTTCAAAACAGGGGTTGCGGCGTGGCCGGACCGTGTCTTGTGACGTCACACAACCGAAGGTACGCTGACGCTGACAGGGCGCACCCGTGGTGACGTCACCTCCTTGCCCCCGTCAGATGATGCACCCGTACATCATCGACACCAGCGTCATCTTCAACATCACGGGTGTGCGCCACCGCAAGACCAAGCTGTCGCTGCTCTCCTACATGTTTCTTGGCGAGACCATCCAGGTGAGGTCCTCCACCCCTCCAAACGCCCCGTTTCTGTCAGATGATCCAGGTGAGGTCCTCCACCCCTCCAAACGCCCCGTTTCTGTCAGATGATCCAGGTGAGGTCCTCCACCCCTCCAAACGCCCCGTTTCTGTCAGATGATCCAGGTGAGGTCCTCCACCCCTCCAAACGCCCCGTTTCTGTCAGATGATCCAGGTGAGGTCCTCCACTGCGCCAAACGCCCGATACAGGTGAGGTCCTCCACCCGCCAAAACGCCCGTCACTGTCAGACAATCGAGGCGACAACACGAGAGAAATCCTTCGGCCCGAGTCCAACGGAGCGCCGCCCGCGTGCTGTCAGCGTCCCGTGCCGGTCCCCACCGCAGCGCCACTTCTAATCGCCTCCGTCGCCACAGCACAGCGCTCCTCCCCCCAACACACATTACAGAGCCCCTCGCCTCCCCCCTCCAGAACGACGAGACGGGCCACGACGCCACCGAGGACGCGCTCGCCTCCCTGCGCCTGGTGCAGCGCAAGCTGGCGCGCGGCTATGCCTACGGCGACGCCGCGCAGGGCGGCTACGTGCCGGCGATGAACGGCACCGGCCTGGAGCCGGCCGACGACGGCGCCCTGCCCGCCGCCGTCAATATGGACGGCTACTACACCAGCCTGCTCAGCCGCATGGACGAGGTCGGCGTCACCAGTGAGTGAGCCGGGGATGGGAGGGGAGAGGGGGTTATGGACGGCTACTGGAACACCCCACGGTCGTGTTGATTACTTTGCAGAACCGTGCGAGCGCCGGTATTATATATATATATATATATATATATATATATATATATATATATATATATGCATGTTTGCATGCATGCATGAAGGTATGTGTGTGTATTCATACATGCGTGTGTGTATTATACATACATACGTATATATATATATATATATATATATATATATATATATGCATGTTTGCATGCATGCATGAAGGTATGTGTGTGTATTCATACATGCGTGTGTGTATTATACATACATACGTATATATATATATATATATATATATATATATATATATATATATGTAGTGTGTGTGTATGCATGTACACATGCCTGTATGTATGAGTGTGCATGAGAGCTGGTATGCACATCCTGGTGGTCTGCGAGCATCAGAATGTTATTGTGAACATCGAATGCATATAATCTCGTCCTTTTGGTACGTGCAGTGCCTTCAATGAGCAGAGCTTGCCAAGTTGAGACCATTAGCATGTGTCGAGTCAGTGCGCTCCTGATATGGCGACAGTATCAGTTTGTCCATCTGGAAGTATGCCGTCCACACGGCTGATCCGCATGAGCAACGATCCTTTTGACAAGGAAGCCGATTCCATACCGTGTATCGCTGCCGCTCGCTTATCCTGTCGGTCGGCTCACCGATGTGGGCTTGAGTTATGGGCGGCTGCTATCTCCCCCGCTGTTCGGCCGTCTGCATGCACCTGCCGATCTCGCCAGCGCCGGTCACGGTCGGCTGTCATGGGCGGGCTCCGTCTGCTGCCGCCGCCGGCTCTTGCATGGCCGTGAACTCCGGATGAGATGGTCGTCAGATTGGGGTTATGGGCGGCTACTGCCTGCTTAACTGCGCGGAGGAGCGGGTCGTCATCAGTGCATGCTGTTTATGTTGTGTCACCAGCTCCGACTCCGAAAACGCGGCGCGATTACCGCACGCGTTTTCGCAGCATCATTGGAACAGAATGACACGGCATTCGGTCAGCCTTATGACACACCACACGTTGTAACTTCAGCGAAACCTCTCGCCGCCTTCCGCTCCGCCGCGTCGCGTCTGTCGCGCGCGCCGTTTCCGCCGCCCGGGAGTGCCTGACGCCCGTTCTGGCGGCAGCTGCGATCGTGGCGTCTGGTCCGGGCGCCGACATCTACCGCGTGGCCTGCGAGACCACCAATCACCCGTCCCTGACGCTCAAGCAGGCGCCCAGCAACCGGCAGGTGGGTGCGCTGCTTGCTGCTGGCCTTGGGTCTGCGCCGCCGCCGCCGCCGCCGCCGCCGCTGCCGCCGCCGTCGTCAGCTGTGCTGCGGCGCCTCGTAAAGCTACATGGTGTCATCAGTCCTTGTGGACGCATAATCGCGCTGGGTGTACACCAAGACGAGCTGTATTCGAGTGATTGCGCTGTTGAATAAAAGATGGTTGCGTGGGCCATAAGACCGAGCGGTCGGCGCGGTGCAGAGTGCAGAGCGTCGTTACATCGGCGGCATGCCAATTTATATATATATATATATATATATATATATATATATATATATATATCTTTTTCCGATCAGACAGTATTATAAAGTGGAACGGGGACTGCAGAATGGAAGGTTCATTGCAGTGGTCAGGATGAGAGGCCAGGCGTCACGATCGGACGTCGCGAGATCAGGAGCACAGGAGCGTCCCTCTGTGCCTGCCCCCCCCCCTTCCCCTCTAGGCCGCCAGCCCAGGAGCAAAGGAGCTCCCTCTGACCCCTCTCCGCGCCGCGAGCAGCACAGGAGCGTTCCTCAGACACCCCGCCCCCCCCGCGCCGCGAGCAGCACAGGAGCGTTCCTCTGACGCCCCCCCCCCCTCTCCTCTCCACGAGCGTAGGAGCGTCCCTCTGACCCCCCCCCCCTCCGCGCCGTGAGCAGGAACACAGGAGCACCCCTCTGATGGCCCCCCTTCCCCCTCTACGCCGCGAGCCCAGGAGCGCAGGAGCTCCCTCTGACCCCCTCCCCGCGCCGCGAGCAGCACAGGAGCGTTCCTCTGGCGCCCCCCCCCCCCCTCCGCGCCACGAGCAGGACGACAAGAGCACCCCTCTGACCCCTCTCCGCGCCGCGAGCAGCACAGGAGCGTTCCTCTGACGCCCCCCCCCCCCCCCTCCGCGCCGCGAGCAGGAACACAAGAGCACCCCTCTGACCCCCGTCCGCGCGCGAGCACAGGAGCACCCCTCTGACCCCCCTCCCTCCCCGCCCCGGCAGGCGTGCGACCAGGCGGGCGCGGCCCTGGCTTCGGCCGACCTCACGCTCTGCCACCTGGAGCTGCGCGACCGGCTGCACTGGTCGCTGTCGGAGGAGCAGGCGCGCCGCCACCTCCGCAAGCTGGACAAGCGTCTGCGCCGGCTGTACCGGGCGGCACCGCCGCGCACGCTGCTGACGGTCGTGTGCGCCGGTGCCGGAGGCCAGACTGGTCACGTGGAGAACGGCGTCTGTCTGACGGCTGTCAAACAGGTGAGCCTTGGCGGGTGGCCAACGCGGGTGGTCGGGTCTGAGGTGAGTGTGACAGGTGGGTGTTGGGGTGGGGCTCTATGGGTGGATTTTCTTCTGATGATCTTCCCAGGGGCTTTGCGCTGATTTAGACCACTTTCCGACGAGGTTAGCAGACTGACAAGTGACTTTCGACAAACACCATTTGACGCGATACTTATGTTTGGGACATTTGACACGAGGGCGTGGCGATGAAGACTGCCGGTTAACGCATGTTGCACCCACCCGGAGGGGAGCGAATGACAGACGCTCTGTTGGCGTGCCAGACCCTCTGTTGGCGTAGCAAACACTCCGTAGGCATGCCAGACGTCCTGTGGTCGGGACAGACGCTCTTTGGGCGGATGACAGACGCTCCGTGGGCGTGACAGACGCTCCGTGGGCGTGACAGACGCTCTGTGGACGTGACAGACGCTCTGCTGGCGTAACAAACGCTATGTGGGCGTGACAGACGCTCTTTTGGCGGATGACAGACGCTCTGTGGACGTGTCAGACGCTCTGTGGGCGTGACAGACGCTCTTCTGGCGTAACAGAGGCTCTGTGGGCGTAACAGACGCTCTGTGGACGTGATAGACGCTCTGTGGGCGTGGCAGACGTTCTGTGGGCGTGACAGACGCTCTGCTGGCGTGACAGACGCTCTGTGGACGTGACAGACGCTCTGTGGACGTGACAGACGCTTTGTGGACGTGACAGACGCTCTGTGGACGTGACAGACGCTCTGTGGACGTGACAGACGCTCTGTGGACGTGACAGATGCTCTCTGGGCGTGACAGACGCTCTGTTGGCCGTTGATTATGCCTCGTCATGTCATGCCATGTCCCCTGTTCTTGAGTGAGTGCCTCTAACATGCACGCCGCACGGTATCCGTCAGTCTGGAGGTTTCCGAAGTTAACAAACCCAATACCTCTTTGAGGGCGGCACGACCACCGCAGGGTGTCCCGCTCTTTAGGATAGTTAAGCGCGCCTCCTCGCGCAGGGAATCACGATGCTGCCGACTTCCCGTTCAATTATCGCAATGTGCGTCCTTCAGATATGCGTGGTGGGAAGGTATGTAATTGGTGTCACGCACTTAGCTGCGTTTTCGGCGAGACGGTTTGTGCGAGCGGCTGTTAGTCAGCTCTGTTACAATAGCCGCCCTTCACGACTGACTGCTGTGGCGCCTCTCCTCAATGGCCGTTCGTAAAGGGCTGCTGTCGTCCCAGCCGGCGGGCCCGCCACTCCGTGTCGTCCCCTCACCGACCTCGCCCCCTGCGCAGGCCGACGGGGCGGAGGGCAGCGAGGCCACGGACAACGAGGACGACACAGACACGCAGAGCTAGCGACACTACCAGTCGCCGGGAGGCGGCGGTCCACTCGGCGGCGAGCGACGAGACGAGTCCGCTGTGGATGGATTCGAAACTAGGGGGCCCGGCTCTGCCCAGGCGTCCCGCGGCGTGCGCGTGGGACGTGTTGAGTTTATTGCTGGTGAAATGTCGCACGCAGTGGGGCTGTTTTGTGCGTGTTGCGTGCTTTTAGCGTTGGTTGAGGCCGTCTTTTATTGGCGTTCCACCCACGGTTCGCCGCCTGGTAAGCGACAGGGCGGTACAAAATGCTTGTACAATACATGTTTGGTGCCCGCGTCGGTCGTTAAGGATTAAATGAAGTCAGCCAGACTAAAAGATATGGCGTAGTCCATTGATCAATGATGATGAGTGATGATTGATCAATGATAATGAATGAACCGCAGGCCGTCCAGAAGACAATCACACTCGGATCCAGATAAGTCTGTACGTTGACCTGACCCGGGCCTCATCTGTCGGCCTTTTTGACACCTGGGCCACCTTTTGACCTGGTCCGGGCCCGTCCTGACCACACTGGCCCTCCCGCTGCGGTCGCTTCGACAGGTGATGCTGTGCGCGATCGCCGCGGAGGGGGATGAGTCCGGCCGCTGGTCATCCCGCTGCGGTCGCTTCAACAGGCGATGCTCTGCACGACCGCCGCGGACGGGGTCGAGTCCGGCCGCTGGTCACGCCCCGCTGTGGTCGCTCTCCTCGTGACCGCCGCACTGGGCGGTGTGGCCAGCCATATCTGCGGCCTCGGCGGGGCTTTGGAATGTCCACGCGGCGCTCAGATGCCGTCGGGGGAGCGGGAGGGGGGGGGGGGGGGGAGGGGGCTTGTAACGCCGGTGAAGCCGACATGGCGACGTTCTTCGTCGCCAAACGCCGTCCGCCGCGCTGACAACGCGTGACGTCACAAGCGTGCCGGACGCACTATGAAGGACGTGGGTAATTCTAGATATGCGCAAAAAGCGGAAACAGCAGATCCAGTCAACTGAGAAATAAAACGCGATAGTAGCGCTTTGGCTATGGTCATTTCGTGCATTTCACTTAGCGCTCCACCATTCCACTGCGCAACGTGATCATTTCTCCGCCGTGGAGCGGCCGTGTCTTCTATGCCAGGAGCAATGTTTTGAAGGCTGACTTGAAACTTTTTCCCTCCCCTCATTGAACGAAGGGCGGAGCTGGCGCGTCACCATCATCCTTCTGGGGAAGGCCGTGAAAACCCCAGCGGCCGATCCGAGGGGGGGGGGAGGGGGGGGGGGGTGGGCGAGCTCTGCGCTGGTGATGTCTAGGTGCGAAACGGCCAGTGTAGTCAACGAACCCGAAAATTCGAAATATCATCGTCGTCTATAGGGTGTCCTTCGTTCTCATCGGAGACGCTAGCTGTCAAACCGTCAACCCGAACATCCTCGAACGCTTGGGGGCTTCCACATTGACATTGGGCATGTTTTTGGATGTTCTTGGAGGTCGCAACGCTGTAGCCGGGGGCTTAGACGTTCATCGGCGAAATGCCCCCGGCCACTCAGCGGCCTAACACATTGGGTTCTTCCTGTTCACTTGGAGGGTCCTGCGTGCTCGCCAGAGGCCAGAAACCTGTCGGGACGCTCCCGATCGCTTAATGACCTGCCGCGTCAGTCTCAGTCTTGGTTCTTTCCGTTTGTTCGGAGCCCCCAGCGCTGTTGGTGATATTATGTGATGATGTACCCTCGGACCCTCGATCGCTCGATCGCGGGGCGTTCACATTTGTCTGAGGCTGTCCCATCTTCTCGGAGATCCTACATCGATTCGTTAGACACTCTGTGAGATCTTAATCGAACGAGAATCATTTATTATTGACCCGATTTTGCAAGTCACGCTCAGTGGTATTTTTAGCTTGTACTGAGCTGAGAAAAAAAGATAAACTGCTCCATGCCATCTAATGAATTGAAGCTCGCTCACGTTGCGGCTTTCCAGTTGATGGTCATCCAGTTTCTGTCACGGCTTCGATGGGCATAGACTAGTGCCCTATATGGGCACTTTCGATCGCTCCGGGGCCCTCCACGTTTGTGATTGACTCTCCACAATTGCTCGCAGGGTTTTATGCCTTTCGGAGTCGAATGTGTCGACTTATCAGGAAAAATAGTTTCGGATGTGGTTTGCGGGTCCGGCAGCGTTCTCATCAGTGATGAGTGATCATTGTTGAGAACGTCATCAAAGCGGGCTCCTCTCGCGTGGCCACTTCCGCGGTTTTGTCCTTGAGTCCTGTCCTGATGGTGGGTCCACGTTCGCCCACGCCTTTTCCATCAGCTGCCATGTTCCGTGAATACTGGTCCGTGATGTGTGGTAGATGGTCCGCCCAGGTGCTCCCATGTGCGGGGTATGCACCCGGAACTGCATGCGGCCTTCATTCACCTGATCATCAGTGCCCCAAACATTATCAGGAACAGAGTGTGAAAACAGATCACAAAGGGTCTATGGAGAGAACAATGCCGCACCCCGGCAATTCAGCTGAAATTCTGGACACCTGCCCGGTCATAAACTAAAGTGAGTATAACAGGCAGATAAAAGTACTGGTAGCGAGAGAAAAAGCTGTTCCCGGATGTGTAAAACGACAAATTTAGGATAGCGGCAGGTCGCCCACAAACTTGTAACATTATCACATAATACCATGTTTATAATACTAACACTTGGACCATCTATATATTCTTTGAAAGAATGGATATCGCCAGTAGCCATTGAGCTTTCATTGTCTTGATCATTGTGATTGTGTCTTGATCATTGTGATTTCATTGTGTTGATTTTTCCACTTAGCCGCCAAATTTCCGCTGGCATCAGACAACGCATAGCTGAAGCTAGCGGAAGTCAATGCAGTGATGTAGAACGCACGCTGTGCCTGCGAGTCCCGAATTGGACGATTCCTTGTAGATCAGGAAGTAGGCGACATTTAGTGTTAAAACGTGTATCGCGTCTTTGTGTATGATGGATAGAGATGTTTCCCTCGTGAGGTGCTGAAGGAGTTTTTGCAGGGGCGGATCTAGCCTGGAGTCGTTTTTTGGGGGGAGGGGGGGGGGCAACCGTCCGTCGCTAGCTGGCTGGTGCGGGATCCGAGGGCCAGTGCATGGTGCCTCTCGCAAGTACCTAGTAGGGACACCATTCAAGCACCAAAATGCTTTTGAATCTTCTATATACAGCATGCATGTTTACAAAGCTCGTAGCATAAGCCGAGTATGACTAAGCCGCGTCAACACGCGTTTTGTTTTGATACTCAAATCGCTGCCAACTTTTCTTCATGAAGTTTTTCCGAAACGGAAGGAAATGTTTGACACCACACCATCAAAGTTAAAACAGACAGTAAGTAGACGAAACTTTTATGAAGTTCTGGGAATATATTTGTGGGGCCAAAACATACTCTCAGAGTTTTGGGGGGATCATGGCCCCGTGCCCCCCCCCCCCACCCCCTGCTCAGGATCCGCCTATGGGGGTTGGTGACATTGAGCTGGCTCAGCCCACTACCGTCCCATGTCTTCCCCTCTCGCCACAATATCCCGGCCTTGATGCAAGTACATGCCACAATATCCCGGGCTCGATGCAAGTATATGCATGTACAGTGTAATCCCCAGACCACGGCGTAGTTTCTAACGCGGTTCTGAGAGCTGATCAATGAAAAATTATGCTTCTCAAAGTTGGAGGGGGGGGGGGGCCTTTCCAACTGAAAAGGAAATTACACCCCTGGCGCGTGCTATCTAAAGGCTACCAGATATTATGACGTCATAGAAATATCACGTGAGCACCAAAACTCATTGTCTGTGTTTTCTTCATTAGCATAAAAGCATGACCGCGTATGTATTCGTAATTGCACCGATGTTAGATTGAGTGTTCCAACGACAAAAGGCAATTGGCTAAACATCGGTTTCAATAGTCTGATAGCAAACATGCTGACAACCGGCGTTACAGTCACCTGTTACCGCGCGGTATTGACGCCGCAGCCGACACCTAGCGGCGGAAGCCGGGCGTGCAGAAACGACCGTATACACATTATATATATATATATATATATATATATATATATATATATATATATATATATATATGCGTATTGTGTTGGGAATAATGCGCTCAAAGGCTTTGGAAAATCATTTAATTTACGTTCAGGGTAGTCCCGGCCCACATTTCACCAGGACAGCTTCTAGATTGCACTTTGGAATTGATTATTAGTGGCGCGCAGCAACACGAACAATCGATAGTCCACCATGACGTCAGTACTGGGGTGTAAATGTGAAGAAGCGTTCGCTTTACGCTCAGGTAACGCCATAACGGTCGCTGTTGTTAAAACTCAAGCTGGCTTTGAAGACCGTAATGGAATGGCTATCCATGCCTTAATCTGCCTAGGACCCAGAGCAGAGCGGCACGACTAATGCATACATGGCAAAGCACTTTGGATATGGCAGCACCGTGACAGATCACGGTGTTGCCATATATATATATATATATATATATATATATATATATACATATATCCAACGCGTTTCACGCAGACAGCGCCGTGACATGTTTGTAGAGTCCGAGTCGGTTCGGTTTTGAGAATTATTGAGACTAAATCAGGCTTCCAGATCCCGGCCGTTCGGAGTAAGGACAGTCTTTTCCCACCGGATCACGCTAAAATCGATCGCAGGTTTGAGTGTATCGTTAGCCACTACCAGTGTGTCGTCGCTCCGGGATCTGCATTGCAGATGACGCCCAACGGTGTCCATAACGTACAACAAGGGAAAGTTGCCCATCATGTTGTGTCAAGGTGAAGATATGCGGTCCGCCAGTCTGGTGTTCTGGACGTCGGTGGTATTGAGACGTGTATTAGCACCGATGAGGACGGGAGATGAATTGTTGCGAAGCGTCATTCCGACAGTAGTTCAGCTAACGATTGTCCTGCTCATTGCAATTCAGTTTGAGGCAGTTTATCCGAAACAATAAATGTAACGTACTTTACAGTATAACTTCAAAGACAAACGATGCAATGCATCAGTCTCATTCAACTTCATGCATACTCATTCACTCACCATGCCAGGCACGGTTCGTGCTAAAAGCTCACTACAGCTGGCAGTGTGAACTCCGTCGTCGTCAACCAACTGTGCACACTGGGAAGCCGCCGCCAACCGTAATTACCTTCGGAGGGACTGGCTGTTGAGGCTAGACTGTTGGGCCATCCCCGGCGGCGAGGAGGGAGAAGGGGGGGGGGGGGCGGGCGGCCGAGCTGTGCGGCCCCCTCGTCGCCTCCA